GGCCACGCAGCCCATGCAAACCCAAATCGATGAATGCGTTCAGCATGATGAATATGACGACCTATGGCAAGGTCGGGGGTTTACTTATCTTTGTTTCCTCGTGTGCGGCTGTGCTTGAGTGTGCTTCAGTGTCTACGGCCTGTGCTTGAGCATCATTTTGCATACAAACCCCTTCAGGCCAAGATTGTGAGATGGATAACGCCGATAACGCTGATGCCAGAGAGGAAACGGAGACAGATTTCAGAACAAGACTGTCGATGTCCTCGCTTACCTCACGTGAGGAGAAGTCGTTCCGGGAGAATTTGGTCAGCGTACAGAAAGCCAAGACGAATGACATAGCCCGCTCCAGATCTGCTTTACCTTCGTCGCCTACATTGCTTGGGAAAATCCGGGGCATAGTGCACTCCTGGAGATTTGAAGCCTTTTTCGCGTGTGCCATATTGTCGAACTCGATCTTAATCGGAGTTCAGGTTAATGATTCCGCACTGCATCCGCACCAGCCTTCTGACAAGACATTCTTCATCGTTGAACAAGTGTATGCGGCAATTTTTCTGGTTGAGCTTATTCTTCGAATACTTGCCGAAGGCCGGCGTTTCTTCTGTTCGTCGCCGGATGTCGGTTGGAACTACTTGGACATTTTGATCGTCTGCACATCCGTGCTCACTCTGGTTACAGAGCTGGCGGAGCAATCTGTGGACAGCAATCTGTCCGGCAATGTTAGGATTATTCGGATTCTACGGGTTACTCGAGTCATGCGAGTGGTGCGCATCGTGAAGATTGTCCGCTTTATTCGGGCATTGAGATCATTGGTTCACTCCATCTTCTCGACCATGAAGGCTTCAGTGCAAGTGCATGGTTCTTTATGTGTGTAGCTCAAACGAACTTTGCTTGGACAGGTGCAAATGTGAAGCAACGCATGTTGGTTTTAGTAGTCTTCTTCACGATCTAGTTTTCACGATCTGATCTGTGTAGGAAATTGTGTTACAGTTTTGACATGTATGTTTTTGGCTTCCCATATGGGGAAAAGCTAGGACGCGGGTGCGTGTGAGCTTCTCTACGTCTTTGCATGTTTTGCAGCTTGCAGCTCATGGGTTGAAATCCATGTTATGGTCCTGCCCGTAGAGGTTACCAAGATATGATACTGATATGGCAAGCTTCTCACCACGCAAACCTGATAGGCATTGTCAAGGCACGCGTGGACACGTGTGTCCTCCAACCATCATGTTGTTGCACCCTTCTACAAAAGCAGGCCAACACGAATCCCGGATGGCTTGGTGCCACAAATCACAAACGATTGAATCGGCATCTCCTTGTTTTATCTTGCTCTCGGATCCGGCACATGCACAAGCTAGGGCTGCTGGCCCCTCGCCCAACATCTTGCAAGTATCCTGCGCTCATTGCTGCAACCACTGCCTCCAATGCGCTGTTGGTATTCGTGATGTCTTGTAGGGTGTTTGACTGGTGTGCGAGAGTCACCCGACACGTGGCCTCTAGTACATGGTAGAAGACTAGCTTTTGCAGGAGTATGAGCACAGCATAGCTGGTTTGCACTTATTGAAACTGATCCCCTGGCAGGTCCTGATGTGGTCCGTCCTTTTGCTTGTGATCATTATTTACGTCTTTGCGATCGTCTTTACAGACGTTGCAACATCGTTTCTATTGGATGTGGAAGAAGGTGTGCAGAGCCCTGTCTTGCTGCGGGACCATTTCGACAGCTTAGAAAGATCAATGCAGACCTTGTTTCACTGCATATCCAACGGCGTGACGTGGGGTGCACTGTCGGACAAACTGAACAGCATCAGCCGGATATGGGGATATTTGCTACTACTTTATATTGCTTTTTGCTTATTTGCGGAGCCTCGGCTCAACTTCAGGCAGTTTTGGCTGTGAAGTCAAGCAAGAGGAACAGTCGTCAACACCTGTTGCGACGGGCCAAGCAAGTCGTCACATTCGGCAACTAAGGTATTGAACGTGATGACCGTATCTTACCTTTGCCGTGAACATGTTCTTTTTGGTCCTGGGTACCATTGTGTTATTAAGCTCTGAACCCTAGATCGTTGTTATAGTTATGGCAACTAAGATTAAAACGGTCTGTCAAGCCCTGTTGTTAAAGATGGGCTTCGCCAAGCCCAAGCACAACATCTCCCCCGAACAAGTTCATAGTCGATAGATTCGATAGATTCGATAGATTCGATAGATTCGATAGATTCGACTCAGTCTTTTGTGACACAAAAGGCGGTGTTCTGCCAGTCGGCAATCGAGAGTGCTGAACGTGATCAAGAGCTAGTAGTGCAGTCTGTGGCTGCCACGAAGCAACAGCAAATCGAGTTGTTCATGTCCGTTTTCGAAGGCATACAAGAGGGGAGAAGACAAGCTGGGCTGTATGGTACAAACGTGACTTTTGCTGAGTTTGAAGATCTTTTCAATGAGCCGCGAATCCGTACTTTCTTCCAGTCACTGGATTTGGAAACCAGCGATGCGTGGACGCTGTTCAAGTTGATGGATACGTCTGGCAACGGGGACTTGGATGCCACAGAGTTTGTGGAAGGTTGCATGCGATTGAAGGGCCCCGCACGATCGATTGACGTGGCGATCCTGATGCAGGAGCACAAGCGCATCAGGAAGAAAGTGATGGCGATTGCGCAGGGAATCTCAGATATTCATTCAGTACTGGTGATGTCGCCAATGCACTTAAAGCACAAGCAGGCCGTTCTGATTGATCCCGCCGTGGCAAAGCCCACTGTGCAGCCCACTTGGCCTGTTGCCCTGTGACGTTGTCGGCAATGAGTGGAAGCTTTGTGTCTGGTGTTTTCCCTCAGAACAGCACATGGCTTCTGCAGGGACATACTCGTGAGTTCATGAAGACCCGAAGTCGCATCCATGGCCAAGCCATCAGTCTGCCTCGGAAGAAAAGTGAGCATCATCGTTTAGTTCATCAGGGCGCTGCCCATCATGATTCCATGAAGCGGCGGAGAGTCATGTCGCACAAGTCTGAATACAGTGCTTCTCCTCCGCCGTTCTGCTGTACGTTTTGATTGTTCTTTGCTTTCCAAGCTTGGCCTGGCAACAAATGGCATGGACATGACGCTTGATAGGCAAAATCAGCAATGAGTACTGGCTGTTTGACAGACCTCTCAAGTCTGCCCCAGGACAGGTGCTTAGGGTGTCCACAGTGGCAATGCTATTCACTGTTGCATGTAGCTCGAGAACCCTCTGGTTGGTCCTGTTGTATCCTGTTGTATCCTGTTGTAGTATCTGTGGCTGTTCACAAACACCACGCTGGCCAACATGCGCCATGGATCTGCAGCGGCCAGAAGACGATCTAGAGGTGCTGTAGCTTCGCCTTTCCCGTATGCTGAGATTCGCGCTTTGAAGGCAATGTTCATGTTCCATTTGTTCCTTTGAAGGGTGGCCTCGATGACTTGTGGAATGCGGTGGAAGAGCTCGCTCGGGATGAAGCCAGTGAAGAGCAGCGGCGACAGGTTCGCGTCAGCCCTCTGGCACATGTAAAGACGTGTCATGATGTGTCTCAAGTTTGTTCAAGAACTCTTGCGCAGTCACGGAGGAGTATATGGAGAAGCAGGCAAGCCGTGCCTTCTACACGCTCTCATAGCGAAGTGAGGCCATGATAGGCCATCGCAACGTACATAAACGTGTACTAGTTCGCCGACAGCCCGTGACACTGACATTCCCACAGGCCAGACGGGCTCAGGAGCAGCGCGCTGCCATGGACCTGTCAATTCGGGCCATGGCAGGCCAGGCAACCTAAACTCGCAGCTGGCTGCGGGACGTATCGCATTCTGAGTTGCACCAACTTGAGCTGTTTAGCCGCTTCGCCATCTCAGAAAAAGCTGGGACAAGGAGAGCTCTTGGCGGAGCTCACAGTGAATGGCAACTGCACAGCTGGCCAGCCAAAGCCCAAGTTGCACGAGTTTGCTGGAGACGCGATCGAAACAGACCGAAGCTGAGGCTCGCTGAAGAGCTCGGGAAGCTTGTGCCGCCCCTCCCGCAAACTGAGTATCGCCTTGCAGTAGAGACCGAGGCGATCTGAGACAGAGAGTGTTCGGGGGGCTCTGTGTGTGGGACTGGCAGCGCAGGCGCTGCAGCCGAGCGACCGTCTCTGCGAGCACGTGTGTGATGGTGCAGAGCTGACAGCGTTGGTGGTGGAGTCCGTGGCTGGCGAGTACTACTGCCAGGCAGGGCTTTGAAAGGAAGGCAGTCGAAATTGGCATGGCTTTTGTGCATTTACAGAAGAACCAGAATGCATGCGGCAGCCAGGCAAACTCCACCCGAGGAATCACATTGTGCGCGGAGCTCGAGATCAGTATTTGCCGGCATCGTCCTGCGCATTAGTGCAGGCTTCTCGTCGATGACAAGCTCAGAAGCAGCGCAGCAACAACAAACACGGTTCACATCTGTTCACGCAAGAACTGCATCAAGCAGCACGGTGCATGCTGTCCTGTAGTTAGAGTCAGACTTACAGGATACAGGAACCAAGACGGAGGATCCAACCGTGACAAACCGACAAAAATGGTCAGCATGCCTGGCTGGACGTTCTATCACGCCATCGTCCCGCTTTGCAGCAAAACCTCGTCAAGACTTTTACGGGGAAGTGCCTGATAAGTGGTGGCGGAGCTTCTACACTGCGTCCGCCCTGCGCAGGCTTTTGTGTGCTTTTGTATCTTGGGGGCAAGGCCTGGAAGGAAGTCGTCGGGCTCGTTGTCAGGCAGAGAGGAAGGCGGGGTTGAATGATGGCCGCATCTTGTCTCTGGCCGCGTGGACTGGGAGGTTGGAGGCTTATCCTTCCTTCACCGTGCTGAAGGTCACTGGCAGGTCGCTGTTCTTGAAGATTCTGATCGAATCAAGTTCTTGTCCGCTTGAGCAGGAGTGCTTCTCCGGTGACCTGACCTCCGTGCAGATTACGCTGGACGGGGTTACATTGGGCTACAGATGCCTACATGGTCAGACGATACACGGTGTTGCAAAAACACAAGACGTGGTTCCGAGGCATTCCTTCAGCATGTCAGGACCAAGCGATTGGTGCAATGGAAGACTTTGTGGTGAGTCATGAGCTGGAGATGGAAAAGTTGCACGATGGAGCACTGGACTTACAACATCAAAAACATGACCAAGAAACCTAATGCATACAGATTCAAAGTTCCAGATTCCAATTCTACTGAGGATCTGAGAGTGGTGCGCCTGACCAGTTGTTACGTTCCGCAGAGTTCTCGCAGATTTCAGCCAGAGAGGTTTGGCCCTGGCAGGTAAAAGGTGAGATCCGAGGAGGTGGTCAGCTGGATCCCAACATGCTCATGGGGCCTCGTACCCAGCGCTGTCAAAGACCGTCTCGGATGACTTCTGCCAACCGAGTGCGTGTCAGGGCCCCTGGAAACGTCTTCAGCCGATTCTGAGCAGTATCATTGCTCGGGTTTCACCGCTAGCTCTTCGCCCGGGGTGCGTTGGTGAAAGCCAAAGATTGAACAGGCCATCAGACTTGCTTGCGAATGGCATTTGAGTGCAATGCTAGTCCTTCCTTGGAGTTTCGGATCACGAAGCGCGAAGCAGTCAGCTGGCTACACGCCTAATTGCACACCACGCCTAATTACACACCACTACCACGAGCATTGCCTTCACATTGCCTTCAAGACTTGATGAAGAACGAAGCTTTTGAACAGCTTGAAGCGAAGAGCAGAGATGTATTGAAAGAGCGCACAGACAGTCCGAGCAAAAGAAACAAGAAATGCAACGAGGGGAGAGAGAGCAGCGAGGCAGGTATCCGAGGGCATCTTTTCCCGTATGGAAGAAAGGAATCGGGGAGGTGGTAAACAGGCTGCAGGGGCTCCGCTGAGCAAATCGGCCTTCTCCTTCGCGGCGCCTTCGCGCTGAGATCCGCGTGCCATGACAAAGGACGACTGCACCCCTCGTTTGTTCATCCACTTAGGATGGTTCGTAGTGCAAACAGCAGGACATCAGCCTCAAGGCGGCCTGCGCCGATTCTTTCTACTATCCTCAGGCATCGCCTGAGAGCAGAGCGCAGTTGATCATTGTTGAATTTTGCGGCTTGACCTCATCTGCAAGGAATGGAAACCTTCCAGAGGTTCTTTGGATCATTTCCAGCGGAAGCTGGCAAGCTCAGAGCAACTGCTGCGTTGATTCCTTGTGTTTCCTTGTGTGATTCTTTGTGCTCCGCACTCAGGAGAGGCTTCGAGCATCACTTCGGCAAGGAGCGAACGAAGAACCTGAGCAAAGGAGCCCGGAGCTCGTCGTAAGGAGCATCTCTGCAAAAGTGGAGCCCCCTCAGCTGTAACTGCGACAAAGGTTCTGCTGATTCGATTTGAGATGCCCTTCACCGTGCAATGTTTAAGGCGCGTGGATTTGAGGTTATGAGAGGTTGCATATATTCACCGGGTTTGCCCCTTCAGGTGACTTTGCTTGTCGCAAACTTGTCTCGACGGCAGGTGTGGCCTCTACATTCGCCAGGGCACTCGATACAATGCCACATGCCTACACTGCGGCTACACTCCTGATGTAGCATTGACTTGTTCTCTGACTGCATGGCAGGCCGACAAGAAGAAGATTGGCATGTACTTCTCGACCCCGCTGTACGAGTTCTCCATGCACTGCGGCAGTCTGGCTGAAGTACTGTTGTGCACGTGCATGTCTCTGCAACGACATCTCAACACATTGTTCAGCCCGTGCACGCTTTGAACTCAGACCGCCCGCCTTGAGGCAACATCGTCAGCCCAGAGAAATCTGCCAATGGTGCGGACACACTCTGCCACTAGTGAATATTTGTTCAGGACCGTGCCATCTTATGTCTCTGCCTTATGGCTCCTACTCTCGTGGTGCAGAGAGCCACCATGCCTTCCATGCCGATATTGTCCATTGCAAATTAATAGCCAGCCTCTTATGTGCAGAGACTGCATGCGCTGATTCTTCTGACGTGATGATGAGCCATGGTGGAAAGGGCGAGCAGTTGGGTGCTGCCCAAAGGGCACGCCAGGAGGAGCATCAACCATGTTTACTGTGAAGGGTTGGCTACAGCCTCCGTAGTGTGGAGGCAGCTCACGATAGATCGTGATAAAGGGAACAATGGTGTTGTTCACACTTCTGCAGACTTGTGTACATTTTTGCACTTGTGGTGGCTAAGACGGCTAAGACTCTCCAGGACCAGCTTTGCCCAGCAGCGTGGCTTCTCGAAGTCGCAACGCAACCTCGGCGAGCGTCTCCTTGCTGCCCGGACGCCGCTGAAGATTTACCAAGTAATCGATGAAGTGATCGAGCTGCAGGCATTGGATGCAGTGAGCATTGCCACAGCGCTGAATCGGCTTGCCAAGCTACAGGTGGATGTGTGTGATCGACGGTTCGACTCACTCCTGAAGCAAGCTTTCCCAATGTTTTCAGACATGGATGCGCGTGGACTTGCAAACTCTGTTCGGGCCTCTGCAGCCTTGGCACTTCGTGGTTGGCCCCTGCTGTCGCTTGCCGCCACCAGAGTGACGTGTAACGAGCCAAGTCCACAGGGCCCCTCCAGCAGCGCCTGGGCGCCTGCCTCGCCAGCACTTCACGGCTGCCTCTCCTAGGAAGCAGTTGGTCGCGTGGCCCAGAACAGAGTCACATAGCCTGAGCAGCAGGAGACAACAACCACAGTTTGAAGGATGGCTACCCTTGCCTTCCGTCACGATCCCCTTGCCGATGCTCCAAGACAGCAGTCACAGATGCTGGTCTCAGAGCACGGGAGTCAGGACATGGCCAACTTTGTGTAAGCACCAGGAACGTTGGCCACACGAAGCGTGCCTACCTGTAACTGCACCGCTCATCAAGCTTCTTTGCAATGTGCTCATCCTTCCCCACAGTAACCAGCCAATACTGGCTGGAAACCTGGCAAGATGCGGGTTGTGCAGGTGGCTTCCTTTGACGTTGTCGCCAACACTGCTCAAAATCTGTTGCCAGAGCTGGACCCGCAAGGCTTGTCCAACATTGGACAGACTTTTGCCTCTAGCCAGCTCTGCAGGCATTTTCTGTTGGAGGCGGTACGTGCCTTTCTCCAGGAGCAGCCCCACAATCAGCGTTGCAACCATGGGGTGCTCTGGGCTCTCTGGCGCTCGTCGTGGCCTCTACAGCCGGTTGTGGACTTGGAGAGCTGGCTCGGGCCGGAAGGTTTAGGGGGCTCTAAATATTGAGAATGATCCCAAATGGGATCTTCAATCCAGGCAGAAAACGCGCGAGTGGCTGCTCTGAGAGCTGATCGACATCTTCCGCTGAGTCCCCCGCAGGGCGGGCGCATTGCAACCAGCGGCTTGTCATCCGTACAGACCCCAAGAATGCCGAGCCGACTTTTTTCTGTGGCCTGTTCTTGGCACCTTGTCCCGGCTGTGAGCTTTAGTTGAGCATAAGTCTGCCGATGTCTGCTTCCGTGCCAGGATGATTATGAGCTGGCCGAAGGGTTGCGTCGGAAAGTTGAAGTCTGGGACAACAAGGACTAGTTCGGCTCGATCGGCTTGCAGCACACGGCCTGGACATCAAGCTTACTGATGCTGGGTAGCTTGAAATACTGCATGCCAAGCAGGACTCCGAAACCTTGGAGCTTGCGGACCCAGAAAGTCGAAGAAGAATGGACGCCGATCCGATGTTTCGGGTAGAAAAGACGCTCAGTTCACGCCTCAGTTCAACCTTCAACCCCTGTGATGATAATGGCCCCCCCGTTCCTGCAAGGAGACAAGCAAAAGGAGCGAACGGACAAGGCGCGCTTGTCTGATCTGCAGGACGCCGCTGCACTTGAGCAACATGCAGGGGAGCGTGTTCAGGATAAGGTGAGTGATGAAGGGCATGGGGTGTCAACTGGGAAGTCAGAGCGTCTTTGCTCACGTTAGGACCTCCAAGCAGAGCGCGAAGATGCTTATGGATGGAGCTTTGGCGCCTGCAGGTGTTGGCAGGTGTTGCCTGGGTCGCCCAATGTTCTGCCCGTCCTTGAAACCTGCTAACGCGCGGATTGCTGCATATATTGTCATCAATCCAGGCTTGCTTTCGTTGTCTCCTCGGCTTTGCCCCTCAAGTAAGAAGTTATCCAAATTTCGCCAGCGACAGTTCGATATGCTTGCTTGGGCTCACACTTTTTTCGCAAGGAACTGTGTCCTGCGGAAAGCTCATCGAATCCGACGAAAGGAGGAGCAGCAACGTGAGGAGGCTCTTGTGAAGATCTCCCAAGTTTGTTCGTGAAGTCCCATGAAGTTGACATGACAAGAGAAGGAAGAGCGACTCCGGGGCAAACCGAACTTTGGAGTGCCGCTGGAGCCTGCCTCCGAAGAGGATCTTCTCCAGGCTGTGAGGTTTCATATGCAAGCAGTTCGCAAGTAGGTCTTGGCACTCATCAGTTTCTGGAAGGCAAAAAGCGTGGAGTACAAGACGGATCACGACAAGATAGAAATGTCTGTGAGGCCTCGAAACATTCCCTCACAGAAGAATACGATGTGGTTTTTTGGCCCGCAAGCCCAAAAGATGACCCAATCGCTGACAAAAGGGGGGACACCGCGACATACCCCTGTTCAGACCCACAGCCATGTCGCACTCATAGGTTCGAGTACGAGCGTTATGCGTCTCAGCGTGCGGGGGTCACGGATCGTAGGGCCCGCGCCTCGTCACAAGCAAAAAGGACCCGGATCAGTCACAAAAACAGGCGCGGATCAAGTAGAGGGCCCGGGCAGGTCACAGCGGGGGAGCTCTGGCCGGCTCTGAGACCTGGAAGATCCATCGCATCCCACAGAGTTCTCGGAAGAAATAAGAAAGGGCCATAGGGACGGTTGGTCAGGAGGGAAGTGCTGGTACTGTACGGTTGGGGGGGGGGGTGGGAGGTACGGCACGGTACGGTGTGTGATGGTGTGTGGGTGCTTGGGGGGGGAAGGGGAGGGCTTAGCATGCCCTCTGGAATTGATTTTAAGGTTAAGGGTTTTTTGGGTTTAGGGTTTTAGGGTTGAAGGGTAGTACAGGGTTTGTGGTTTGCTAGGGGTGTTAGGGTTGTTGGGGTTGTTGGGGTTGTTAGGGTTTAGGGTTTTTAGGGTTTAGGGTGTTTAGGGTTTTTGTTTTTGGGTTTTTTCGGGGTTGGGTTTTAGGGTTTAGGGTTTTTAGGGTTTAGGGTTTTGAGGGTTTAGGGCGTTTTAGGGTTTAGGGCGTTTTAGGTTTTTTAGGGTTTAGTTTAGGGTGTTCAGTTCGTTTAGGGTTTTAGGGTTTTTAGGGTTTTTAGGATTCTCAGGGCTTTTAGGCTTTTTAAGGTTTAGGGTTTTCAGGGTTTTTAGGGTTTAGCGTTTTTAGGGTTTTGGGTTCTTAGGGTTTAGGATTTTTAGGGCTTCGGGTTTTCAGGGTTTGGGGTTTTTAATTTTTTAGGGTTAGCGTTTCAGGGTTTTTAGGCTTTTGGGGTTTAGGTTTTTGAGGGTTCAGGGCTTTTAGGGCTTGGGAATTTTTAGGGTTGAGGGTTTTTAGGGTTTTTAGGGTGTAGGATTTGTCAGGTTCGGTTTAGGGTTCTTGGGTTTTTGGGGTTTCGGGCTTTTTAGGGTTTTGGGGTTTTGGGGTTGAGGGTGTGTAGGTTTCGGGTGTTTCGGGCATTTAGTTTTTAGGGTTTTGGGGTTTAGGGTTTGTTTTTAGGGTTTAGGGTGTTTAGGGGTTTTTGGGGTTTAGGGTTTTTGGGGGGGGTTTGGCGCGGTACGGTACGGTATGGTTTGGGGGGGGGGGGGGGGGGGTGGGTTTGGCGCGGTACGGTACGGTATGGTTGGGGGGGGTTTGCGTGGTACGGTACGGTATGATTTGGGGGGGGTTGGCACGACATGGTACAGTATGGTTTGAAGAGGGTGGGGGTTTGGCACGGTATGGTGCGGTGCGGCATGGTTTGGGGGCCGGGGGGGGTTTGGCACGGTACTGTACAGTGTGGTTTGGGGGGGGTGGCGTTCGGGAGGGGGGGGGGGGGGTTTGGGGTCCGGCCGCAGCCGTTCGAATACATGTTGGCCTTGGCCTTGCCCGTTCGCGGTATCGTCCGGGTATCGTTCCGACAACAATACAGACCCCCTCCACAGCCCACTTCTTGAGGTTACGTTTCAAAAGGCAGTTCTGTTTTATCGCTGTGCCCTGCGGGAAGGCTCGGCGAAACAGGCATTTTGTCAGCGTCTCAAGCTAGCCTCTCGTGGCTATCACCGAGAGGTAGCTTCAAAAGGGAGTTCACGGGTGGATTCATGGCAGCGGTACTGTTTTATCGCTGTGCGGGAAGACTCCGCAAAACATGCGTTTTTTCATAGTTACATCCTAGTCTCAAGATGCTATCCCCAAGATTCAGAGAGTTTTTCCTTTCATTATCGCATGTTTTGGGCCTTGTGTGCCCTCGGGATTTCGGTTCTGGGCCATCTTCTTGACATGTTGGGCTACCTTGGCCCAGGGGTTGGGCTATCTACAAGGTGATTTTTTGCCAAGAAACCACGCGCGCTCGTAGTTGGTTCTTGTTGTGAGCCAGCTTACTAGACGAATTTCGTCAGGAGAAGCACCCTGATGGCTCAACCCGTTTGGCGCCGAGGGTTCGCATGAGACCACGGGTGCAAGTAAACCTTAAACCCTGAACCTGAAACCCTTAACCCTAAACCCTATCCCTTAAACCCTAAACCCTAAACCCTAAACCCTGTTTCGTTTAGGTCTTGGAGCGTGGCTTCCACAAGAAAGCTCTACGGGTTGCAGCATTGGTAGCAAAGCGGTGGCTGCCTCAGACGGGTGGGGGCAGCCAGGTCACGGGACACTATTGTAGCTGCCCGTGGCTCGTGACTTTTGCGACCCAAACACGCAAGGAAACGGGTGCAACAAAGTTCCCGAATGGTGCTGTTCTTACAGATTCTTGCGGTTATGTTTTGTTATGGATTCTGTATGCCTTGATACCCAAAGAGACAAAGAGACGAAAGGAGCGCTGCCGAAAGAGGACCATGAGGACCCCAACATAGTGCGAGGCATCTTTGCTTTCGAGCGTCGCGAAAGTTTCCGCACGTGGCGACATCACTTTTGCCTTTAGCAGGTTCCTGTCTCCCAAGTGCGCTCGCGCAAGTCGCCCATCAAAGATGGAAAATCTTTCACGGTGACATGGCCGATGGGAAGGTCCTCTTATGTCATGTTTTTGGCATGTCTCCCTGATCGTCGTGAGTGTTGCAGGGTCTCTGTAACATCCTTGTGGCCCAAGCACAATCCGCTGCACCGGGCGTCGGGAAGCCTGTGCTCAGAGAGCTGCGAAGGGAGGCCCGCTCAGAGCGCCCCCGGCTCCAAGGCACGAAGATTTGGATCAAAGAGGGCCAAACGTAGCACAACTTGCAGGACAGTGCAGGAGAGTCGCTAGTCTACATCCTGTTCTCCTGTGATGAATCGACGTTGCAGGGGTTTGCGTTGGGGGCTTTGGCTCCGAGGGTTGAGATCAAGCTTCTGCAAGTCTGCTTATTTGGGACATGTGCAGCATTGGTAGTCGGACCAGTACGTGGGCCCGGACCCATAGAACTACCGGTGCTGCTTATAATCAGACAGGCATTCTCTCAATGCAGAGTGGGGCGTTTGCTGATACTGCTGAGAGCTACTGTTTTCGCTACTAGATACTGCTACTGCGATGACACCCACTTCGACTACGACTTCGGTTCTTTCTGCAACAACGGCAACGACGAGTACCACGACTGCCCCCATTACCACTGCCATTACGACGACGACGACGACCACGTGGCTAATGGTCATTCTTGTTGTTCCTCGCGCTCGGTATGGGGTTGCTAGAAATGAAGTCAGTCATTCTGGACAATGCTCTTCGCTCAGTCTCCTGGCTTGTGTCTCCCATTCCCGAACTCTGCAGAGTGTCGCGCCGAGTATCCCTGGAGTTGAAGTCCCGCAGAGCGTCCCGATGACTATGCCTGGTGCGTTGACCTCCAGAGTCCCAGAGAATCGCTCGTCCTATCCCGCAAAGTACCCCTGGAGGCAACCGCGGCAGAATCCTGCAGCGAAGTATCCTGATTTAGCTGTCCGAAAAGGTTCCCAGATTGGCTAGCTTTGGGGTGGGGGATGATAGAATGGAAAAAATTGAAAAACCACTGTTTTTGCCAGTCCAACCACTCGTGTCTTCTTCGCTTTGGGTGTTTATTGTCGCTTCTAGAAGTTTCCAACTGCGTCGAATAGCCAGTTATTTCCGTAAGGAGCGCAATTAGCTGATGAAGGATGAGCCTAACCTGAATGGCACTAAAGCTATGACGGCGGGCAGGTTGATGCACAGCAAGCGTCTCTGTAGGCGGATGTGCGTGTAGCTGGCGCAAATGTAAGTCGTGTTCTTGCAAAAACTTGCATGAGCGACAGAAAATCATGCAAGTCATCCACCCAAGTCTAATTATTTGACAAGATTTTTTGTTCACTTTAAAGGCCTGAGTGCCACAAAGGTCTACGCGAGCCAATACATGTGACCCAAAATGGTCTCTATGTTTGCTGGCTGCGGTCAGCGTCAGCTCTGTGTAACTTGGCCAATGTGCTCACAAAGCGCTGCGACAATCGATGGGCTTTTTCTAGGAGGCGAGGCCACGAAGAGGCAATACCGCAAGGGTCATCTTGGGATGTTGGGCCAAAATGGGCCAAAGATGTGTGAAAGAACTTGCAGAAGACATGCGCCGGCAAAACCGTACCGTCGCAGGTACTTCCCTCTCACATCTTTGCAAGGTTTCGGCTTCTCATTCGTCAGATCTGCGCCACTCCTTCTGGTTTTGATGGGAGGGATTCACCAAACTTGTCGATCGTGAAAGACCCAATCCATAGTCAAGTCGGAGCAGCGGAGCAGCAACGAGTGCTACTACTACTTTCTTGTGTCAGGGATGTTGGACATATTACGGTGCCAATGCTGCGCAACAACACCACGAGGCGAAATGCGTACACTAGACACGACAGCTCCATGAAATGCGGTCCCACAATGTCACCGGGCCAAACGTATCTCCAGGAACGAGCTGGGTGACAGCCCCGACACGCTCGAACTACAGTACGAGACCGCGCGCTTTTCCAATTGCGACGACAGGTCGGATGTCGAACGCATCTAATAGGGCCAAACGATTTTCGCATGTAATCAGGGCCTCTCCTGTAAGGGCCGATTCAGGCTTTCACTTGTTAGTAAGAGGATGTCGTACGGTCTGGTATGTAGATGTTTCTAGACTCAAATTACTGTTGTATCCTGCAGGCACTGATGGCTGCGCCGTTTCAGACGGTAGGCGAGCAGTCGTTTCCTCGGCCATTTTGTCTTCTCGTTGGGCTGCACCGTGTAGTGAGCGACACAGAAAGTTCGACATCTCAGGTTTTGCCAACATTACTATCAGACCTTCGACACGAACAGGTGTTCCCTTGCCGCAAGTGCAGTTGCGCATGTCGAGTCCGAGAATGCTTGTGGATCTTGTGGGCATGTGAGCGTGTTTGTGGCTGGGTTTACAGCTTGGGCTCACAGCATCCTGGGAATTTTAGCACAGTTCGCGGTCTGCCGGGCGGTTGGGTCTCGTTTACATTTTATATCAGGTGACTCTGTTGTAATTGCAGCTGATGACTTGACCTTCAGAGTCCCGATGGTCAGCCGGATCGGCCAAGTGCTGCGTCCTCCTTGCCATGTTTACACACTCCCATGATCTCCCACGCATTATTTTGAGGTGGATGTCTTCTTCACGGAAGCAGTGTGTATGGGCATGCTAGCCCTTTTGGCTCCGTTTGTCTTTGACTTTCTGTAGTGTTTTCGGCAATGGCGCCACGCTCCCGGATCACGATTCCTGCGCTCGGGGCAGCTGCTTTTGGCGGGCTTGCTCTGAGCTCTCAGGAGTCCTTTGTGACTGCCCCACGAGCGCATGCTCGGCAGACTTATGGTCCGACCTCGAGCACAGCACAGAGACCAGCCTCGGGGCTGTCAGCGGGGCTCTGCGGGGCTCTTCTCCCGGGTGCGTGTGCTGGTGCCCTGGCCGCTGCGGTTGGCCGCTCACGTCGGGGTCATGCAGTGCCCAGCTTGCCAAATACAGCCCGAGCCCGCGGAGTGGCAAGACCAGCGCTGGATCAGTCGAGCCGATATGCAGACCTGTCTTTGAACGAAGAGGACCTGATCAGAAACGGTCCAGGGCTAAGCCCTGTCGAAGACGTGTTACGTGCTTGGTGAGCTTTGTTTCTTGATTTAGTCTTGTGAATGCCCAGCTCGCAGCTCAACAGACCCGCAACTCAAGCCAAGCTGCAGGCAAGCATGTCCTCGTGGCGTACATCATGAAGCCGAAGGCTGGTTACGACTACCTGGCCACCGCCGCCCACTTTGCAGCTGAGTCCTCCACAGGCACCAATGTGAATGTGTGCACCACGGACGACTTCACAAAGTCTGTGGATGCCTTAGTGTATTACATCGACCCTGACAGCGAAGAGATGAAGATCGCTTACCCCAACCTGTTGTTTGACCGCAACATCACCGACGGCCGTGCCATGATGTGCTCCTTCCTGACCCTGTCCATCGGCAACAACCAGGGTTGCTCAGCTTACGGGGGATACGCGGGATGTGTAAGAACGCAGACATCTCTGATATTGTCAGAGAAAATCTCCCTTAGCTGAATTTCTGAATATCTGATATTGGGCTGGCAACGTGCATCTGTAGAAGGGTAGATTGTGCCAAGGTATGGGTGACGTCGAGTACGGCAAGATCTACGACTTTTACCTGCCCCCTGAGTTCCTCCGCCTGTACGACGGCCCATCCGTGAACGTGGAGGACATGTGGCGCATCCTGGGCAAGGGCACCAGCAACGGTGGCCTCGTGGTGGGCACCATCATCAAGCCCAAGCTCGGCCTGCAGCCCAAACCATTCGGCGAGGCCTGCTACGCGTTCTGGCAGGGCGGCGACTTCATCAAGAACGATGAGCCCCAGGGCAACCAGGTGTTCTGCCAGATGAACGAGGTCATCCCAGAGGTTGTGAAGGCGATGAGGGCGTGCATCAAGGAGACCGGCGTGGGCAAGCTGTTCTCTGCCAACATCACCGCAGATGATCCCAACGAGATGATTGCCCGCGGCAAGTACTGTCTGTCCCAATTTGGTCCTCTGTCCGAGAACTGCGCGTTCTTGGTGGATGGCTACGTGGCCGGAGGCACGGCCGTGACCTGCGCCCGCCGCAACTTCCCAGGACAGTTCCTGCACTACCACCGTGCCGGACATGGATCCGTGACCAGCCCCCAGACCCAGCGTGGTTACACCGCCTTCGTGCACACCAAGATCTCCCGAGTCATCGGTGCGTCCGGCATCCACACCGGAACCATGAGCTTCGGCAAGATGGAGGGCGATGCCTCAGACAAGAACATCGCCTTCATGCTGCAAGACGACGCGGCCGATGGCCCCTACTACCACCAGCCTTGGGAGGGCATGAAGCAAACTACTCCCATCATTTCGGGTGGCATGAACGCTCTTCGACTCCCCGCCTTCTTCGAGAACCTTGGCCACTCCAATGTAATCCTGACTGCAGGAGGTGGATCCTTTGGCCACAAGGATGGCCCAAAGCCTGGCGCCGTCTCCTGCCGGCAAGGGGAGGAGGCTTGGAAGTTTTGGAAGGCTGGGAGGTACGGAAACATCAGTTTGAGTGATGGAGTCATTGAGTATGCCAAGACTCACGAAGAGATCAAGGGTGCATTCCTGACCTTTCAGAAGGATGCAGATCAGATCTACCCAGGTTGGAAGGAGAAGCTGGGCTACACCGGCGAGTCCTCTGTGCAGGCAGCCTCCTTTGATTGGGCCAAGAAAGCCTAAAGCAACGCTGGGGGGGAGACCCCTTGCTCGAAATCCTAGTGCACGTGACGTGATCAGTTTTCAAGCAGGAATCCTTATGGCTACCACCATCCAAGATCATCCAAGCATCCAGTTCGTCCAGTTGTGCAGAGCTTTTCCTTCTCTCTGCATGATGCCTGCACTGGAAAATTGCCAGGCCGCTCTGGGGTTAGTGGCATGCAGCACAGCCTTCTTGAAGCAGCACCTCACGTGCCATGTGCGTTCAACTGTGAAGCAACATGTTTGGCCTCAGCCCATGTAGTCTCTGTAGACCGAGATGGTTCTGGTGAATAGGACTCTCGGACTCCTCTGTCTCTGCCGGGAGCTCTACTGCGAGCTATGCCTGGCGGCTGCGCTACCTGGGCCACCTCGGCCGTCCGAGACCAGCCTCAGCCCCATGCAGGCGTGACTGACTTGACCATCAATGACAGCTCCGCAGCATGTCGCAGCCCGGGACATGGTCGTTTGGGTCGTTTCTGCTGCTTGCATGGTGTGAGAATTGCGAGACATCGCAGATATGGCGGGGATGTTCCCTCGCATCAGCAGGGAAAGCAAGGCCCGGGCAGCTGTCGGCCGTGCAGAAGCAGAGGTTGGGATCCCAAGCAGGCAGATGGTGCAGCAGTACTTCTCGCGTGCATGGCTGACAAGCTTCAGCCCCACGGAGTGCAGTGCCGTGATTACGGCTTGTGGCAATAAGAAGCTCTGGCCAAAGGCTCTGGGAGCCTTGGCTTGTATGCAGAGTGCCATTTTGGTACCTGACGTTGTGATTTGCACGGCTGCCCTCGTGGCCTGTGCCAGAAGCGAAGAGGCAGAAAGGGCCCTTTCGCTTTTCGAGAAGATTCCTGAGCTCCAAGTCCAGCCATCGGAGGTGACCTACGGTGCTGCCATCCAGGCCTGTTCCCGCTGCAGTCGCTGGCAAAGGGCGCTTCACCTCCAGACATTTCCCGACGCCCGGAATTCCTTCGGAGCCTCTTCAGCTGTGGGTGCATGTGGAAACGCTGGACACTGGAACATCGCCCTCGCTATCTTGGAGGATGGGGAGTGCTAGCACTATTCAAGGGTAGGGGAGTGTTAGCGCTGTTCAAGGGTAGGTCTCGGGTGATCTTGTTCTGGCTCATTCAGGCTCACACCTCGATCTGCCCAATTGCTCTCCACAACTGACTTTTTGCTTTAGTGCTGCCCCCGAAGGAATTGGCCGAGTCCAGAAGTGCCACAACGGACTTCGTCTACAATGCTGTGATCAGCGCGTGTGCAAACAACAGCCAGTGGGGGCGTGCCTTGAGTTTACTCGCCAACATGGCCTCTCAGCTGATTCTTCCTGACATTGTGAGCTACAGCGGGGCCATGACTGCCTGTGAAAAGGCCAGCGCGTGGTCGGTTGCAGTGGCTTTGTATGCATCCATGATGTCCAACATGACAAGGATGGTACCTCGGATGCTTTGCTTAGGGCCATGCACATCCAGGGAAAGAGGGAGGGGTAAGGAGAGAGCTTGCAGAAGGAACCGCCCCACCAAGGACGTTGTGGCTTATGGTGCCCTAGTCAGTGCGTGTGAGAAGGGGGCGCGTTGGCAACTTGCATGCTGCTTGTTATGGCGAGCATTGGAAACGCATTTGGCTCCCACTCTCGTGCTCCTCAATGCTGCCTCAAGCGCTTGCGAGCCTCGCCTTGCAGTCGCACTTTTGTCAAGTTTGTCAGCCTCGTGAGCCTTGTGACTTCTGTGCGAGAGGAGAAAGCTGGTGCATGGCAATATGCCATGCTGGTGTTCGACACCATACAGCAGCTTGCCATGGTGCCAGACACCATTAGCCTGAATGCCGTTCTCAGCGCCATGGAGAAGAGTCAACGCTGGACGCAGGCCGGCTCCTAAGCTGCTGTATATTCTGTATGAGTCACAAGAAAAATGGTGAGTGTGGTGGAATCTTGGTCGCTTTTCTGTCACCCTTTCAGGCTATCCGATTGCTTTCCCAATCCCAGATCAGAGCAGATGTCATTTCGTACAATGCCGTGCTAAGTGCGAGCGGTGGAGCTGGGAGGCGCCGTTGTCCGGGGTCAGTTGGGCGAGCACGTCAACAAATTTTGTGTGAATTTCGTAAAGTCATCAAGACGAGCCGATGATTGTCCTGGCAACTTGCCCTGTAGGTGGACACAAGCCTTGTGCACGCTGAACGAGATGCAGGTGGTCCAGCTGGCACCAGATCTAATCACCCACAGTGCCGGCATCAGTGCCTGCGCCAAAGCCAAGATGTGGCAGAGTTCATTGCTGGTTTTGGAACGGCTTCGCGCAGCTCGCCTCTTCACCGCATCGAAGTACATTGCCAGATGGTAAGCTAGCCGAATGGTAGCAGTCAACCTGTCAACACCGCAGCATACGTTTCCAGCAATCGTGGCCCAAGGCCACCGACCAGAGGTTGGCACCTCAGTGCTTCAGATGCGACTTGCGACTGTGCCGGGACTCACAGTGCACCAAGGAGATCGCATACAATGCAGCTGTGAGTTCTTGCGAAGACACATGGCAGTGGAGGGAGTCTCTGGAGCTGCTTGCAGCACCACTGTCTGCACTGTTGCATGGAGGATTCCGTGCAGGTCCAGTGTTGAGCCTTTTGTACTCCGGTTGGTGGCCGCACAATCTAGCACCAGGCAATGGCTCGCGACAGCTTGGTGCCAAATATTCTGAATCTGAATGCGGCGGTCAGTTCTTGCTGCAAGGCCAGAGAAGAGTGCGAAGTCAAGAACCTGCAACCAAACATCAGAAACCTGGTCGCTTCGCAACCAACAAGCTTTGAGATCACAGTACCCGTGCAGGCGTGGGAGTTGCCCCCCCTACAGGATCTACTGAGAGCTGTTCGCAAGGGTTTCACTCAGCAGCAAAGACTGTATGGAAAATGCTAGCCTCGGAGATGGACTCTTCCAGTACCAGTGTTTGTTTGTTACATGGTACGATCTGTGTGGTTTGAATTGGACGAGCACATGCAGAAGCTAAGAGTAGCTGCCACAAGCTGCCAGGGGACCCGGGACCTCTCCTCGTTGCCTGGGCGGCCGGTGCCGCCACAGCTTTGCTGCTCACAAGGCGGGGCTCCAGAGTCTTGGAGATTTTTTCCGTGCAAAACCCATTGATGCCTGCAGTCGCCCAAAAGTGGTTTTTGGCACCTCTGCGGTCGCAGGTTGATTCCGCAAGCTGGCGGTTTACCAGTTGGCCCAGATGCTGAGTTGTGCACGCCTTGCCGCTAGAAGCAAGAGTGGAACAGATGTAAGGGAGCTTAGACCGATGCGCATGGATCTAGCATCTGGCAAGGCCAAGGCCATGAAGCCGAAGATGAGAATCCGACTCACAACGTCTCCGAGCCCCGGTCTCGACGTGCGAGCAAGGTTTCTGCGGCGACTACAGATGCTAGGGCTACTGCCGCTACGGATCTACAGGGTTCTCCTGTGAGAAAGCCGGATCGCACACAGGCCAAGCGGGAGCTTGTGTGTGCAGAAGCTCTTGCTTGGATCCGTGGTGTGGGGACCTTTCCATCCGAGTCGATCATCCTCACATCCTTGCCGGACATATCGGAGGTCGTAGAATTTGCTCCTCGATTTGAAGACTGGGAGGCATTCTTCATGGATGCTGTCCACAGCATCTTGGAGGCCAAAGCCCTCTACTCTTTTCTCGCATATGGTTCCAACTTTGCCTTCAGATCACGTTGAACTTGCACCATTATACCACAAACATGGAATCAAGATTTTTTTGTCAAGCAATGCGTAATGTGCTTGCAGACGGACCCTGACTGAGAGATGTTGGGAGGCGTTGCCTCAAGGTGGCGTGGCCGTTTTTTACCAGACCGATGTTCGCCTGGCGGGGATTGGCCAGATCAGCAAATCGTATCTGGTCCTGCATGCCGCCAGCAGGGTACCAGGTGTGCGCCTGAAGTGGCACAAGATTGCTCATTTTGGGACTGTGGATCAGCCGACGTGGAATGCCATCCAGTTTACGCACCTGCTATGTTTCGCAAGAACGGGTCTTCCTCGAGTTGGGGTTGGCGCTGAAACAGATCTTGTTGCGGATCTGGGAAGCACTCTGCCAGATATATTAGAGAGGGGATCAAAGCCCCGTCTCCGAAAGGGTGCTTGCTGCAGTGCTGACATGATTGAACTCTCATGAGATCCTGTCATTGCTGATAAAGCACGAAGCTTGAGCTATTCACACAAATATGATGACAGGCATGGGTGTACATGCAACTGCATCCGTATTGAAGTGGGCTCTTCGCCGGCTTCCAGGCATGCAGACGAGATTCCGGAATGTTGACAGTGAAAGGGTCGGACTGAAGGAGGCATTGCTTCGTTGCTCCAAACGCCCAGAACAGCCCATATGGGAGGCATCCGAACAGTGATAGATCCCTTCTGCGGTGCGGGCACAGTGCTGGCCATTGCGAACGAGTTGCAACCTCAGGCTGGAGTTTCCTTGTGAGGAGAGATCTGCGCAGGGTGCTTGTGGAAAACTCAGGTATGGCCTGGATGCTGTCGGTGACCTGCTTGATCTGGTTCTCTTGCTACACATGCTGCGCCGAGTTCCTAGATCCACTGAGGTGTCGACATCTCGCCAAAGCGAATCAAGCAGGCAAGGATATCTACAAACGCATAGGGCTCCAGAATATTTTTGGTGTTTTAGGACAGCCAGCATTTGCCGCTGCTGGGATAAGTTTTGCAGGGACAATACAGCAAGTCATCTGAGGCCGGTACCTGAGGCAGAGAAGAAAAGAAACCTAGGTACTGGGTACCCTGCATACATATTCTCCTCTTCCTAAGATTGGTTGTTTTGGTTGCTGAAAGAGCTGTACTGTCCCAAATCCCCAAGCTTTGGACGAGGACCTGGCTCTATAGGCCTCCAGAATTGGTTTCAAGCTTTTTTTTGAAACAGTACAGCATTAGCCGCTTCTGGGATTGCTTTTGTAGATTCGCTACGACACGGTGCCATACTGTTCCAACAAATATTCGGAAGAGGACCTGACCGTGTAGTATCTGAACTATGCCAACTACAACAAGAAAGCCCTTTTCAGGTAAGTATCTCTTGGAATGAAATTGGTTCATTCAGTGAATCCTTCATTTAGTTCATTCAATTCATGAAAGGGCCTACTATTTTGATTCATGTACTTAACCCTTCAGAAATCCAGTTAAACTGTTGAAGTTACTTTGGCTAAGCAAATCTGAAAAAAGCCTTAGTTTAATGAAGCATCACGGACACAATGAAATAATTCTGCAAATGCCCTAGCTAATTAATCAGATTCATGCTTACATGAGGCAACTAGGTCAGATTTCCCAAGAACTATACTTTAATTCATGGGTTGAAAACATAAGTTAATCCAATCAGCTTGACAATCATCATTCATTTAGGCTGGTTACGGGTAAAATAAAGGAAGGATTGAAATCTAGTTTGTGCAACGTACTTGTTTGACCCTTAGATTAAGCGAACAAACTCAGAAACAATATTTGGAAGACCTTAAAGCAATTAAACTAATCATACGAATGCCATCATATTCTGACGGATCGTCATTTACAACGGCTAATCACGAAAGCTAGCTCTGTGGAGCTGGCGGGAGTTGTCGTTTACCCATGCACTGGTATTCACCTTGTTAAGAAGCTTCCAGGGAAAAAAAGGGTTCCACACCTTAACAGGTCCGAAACCCAAGACTTAAGGTGGGGGTGGGGGGGGGGGGCCCCCCCCCCCCCCCCCCCTCACCTCACATGAGCATTTTCGAAGGATAAGGTGCCGGCGCCCCCCCCCCCCCCCCCCCCCCTCCTTTAAGGTGGTTGCGTGTGGGATAAGGTAGGGGGGGGGGGGCCCCCCCCCTACCACCTTCAGGTCCCCCCCCCCCACAAGGTCCCCCCCCACCCCACCCCAAGGTCCTCCCCCGCCCCCCACAGTCACCATGCTCTGAAGGTCTGTGGTACTTTGCAGAGGTCGTACTGAACAGAGCGTCCCTGTACCTAAACTTCGTTTGCGACACGGGGTTCCAGCGGGGGAAGCAAGGGGGCTGAAGGAGTTTAGGGCTTCAGGTTTCGAGTTTAGGGGTCTTCGATCTTACCTGACTAACCGGTTGAGTCTCTACATGGACTCAATCGTGCTTGTTAACAGCTGCTCAAACATGCATTCGAGACTGAAGCTGCAGCTTGGAGCAGCGATACCCATCTCCCCTGCGGTGACTAGCTTTCGTAGCCCCTTCTCAAGTGAATTGAACTCATGCAGTTGAGGGCTAATTCACTTCTGTTACTTCACCCTTCAGTAAACTGACTCAACCATCGAAATTCCTTTAGCTAAGTTAATTCCCGCAAACAAAAACCGTTTTAAGTTAAGTATTTCTCTTTGCTATGTTAGTTCATTGAATTCAGTTCGTTTGCTAGTGGTCTACAAATAAAATTCATTTCTCAACCCTTCATCAAACTAATCAAATTAACTTATGTTGGTCTTGGTTTTACTGTCAAGCTGTTTTGTTAGCTCACTTCCGATCCAGCCCCAGCAAACGGCATGAAACATGCAGGCGAAGCAGCTGGACGGTGCTGCTCTTCTGGCATCTGGTGCGCAGGCGGCACCGGCAAAGTCGGAGTTGTGCATGAACTGGTAGGTGTCCGTTTTGTCACTGAATGTCATGACCAGCAGAGGGTGTTTCGCTTGCGCACCTGAACTGATTTACAGGCGCGTGAGTCTCGAGCTTGAGCGCCGGGTTCTCGAGAACATAGTGTGTCCGACAGAATCGGGCAGAGTTGACCCCTGTACATATGCCCCTCTAGCATCGGGAGCTCTGCGTCTTGTACATGTTCCCACAGCTTTGCAAAGTTGAGAGCTGAAAATCCCGGACGTTCACGCAATCTGTGTACTGTTTGTGCATGAGGGCTGCAGTCGGATCGGTCGGATCATCAAGTGCTGCATTGTGCCTCGGACAGGGCCGGCCTGCACCCCCTGTATTCACAGCAGTCGATGCTGACGTTCGAAGGCGAGCAATTCCAAGGTGCAATTGTTGGGGGCATCTCAAAGCCTGGCGAAGCTATGCGAAGCTTCCGATCGTGCCTCCACTATGATAAGCCTTTCGTGCGGAGGTGCAGATGCCATCTGCCAGAAGATCGTCAGCTTGCCCTTCCAGAAGGCTTGCATATGCAACTCCTGGAGCTTGTTCATGTTCTGGCAGGAGCACGCAATGCAAATCTTGCCATCACTCAACAGCCATCAAAGGACACTAACAGCAGTCTGTTCTGGGTCGAGCCCAAACGTCCCGAGCCGAAAAAGCCCGAATCCCTAACACCAACAAGGCATGTGGGTGCCGTCCATTCACAGGTACAGCACCAGATCGTGAAGTGTGATTGCCAGCCTTCTCCGAATGATGGCACTTGCCTCTGCTTAAGTTCGGTCCAGCATGCTGAGGTCAGACTTAATAAGCCCTTGGCAGGGCTGCTGCATTGTTTCAATGTGGAAGTGGTCATCCAACACGTGGTGCCGACAGGTGTACTGATCTTCATCACCGGGAATCTCTTGGTAGACGACAATGCAAACCCACTCAAGCCACAGCCCGAGAGTCCTGAGAGTGTCGGAAGCATTGTCAGAAGAGAGCAGGGCATGCAGAGCACACGCTATGCCGCTTTGCTTGCGCTATGCTTGCAGTCGCCCTTGAGGTTTGCGCAGGTCTTCCAGCTCATGAAAGGCCCGACTGGGAGCTTAAGCTCAACGTGGACGGTCTTCGATGTTTTCGGATGCGGTGATATGTGTTGTGCCTGCCCGGCTTGCTCAACTGAGGAACTACTATTGCCACAACGATATGTTCCGGCTGAACATCGGCTGAGGGGCTCTTAACATGAGCTAGAAGACGAATGCCCTCGGTGTCATGCTTTCAGCAAGCACGCGACGTACACAGCACGAGCACCACAAGTCTGCAGAGTCGCACCCTGCGACAGGACCCTCCTGCTATGCCAAGCGATGCACAGAAGAGATGTCAGTAGACATGAAGTGTTTGTCTCTCGCAAAGTGCAGACAGGTGGACGAAAAGGTTCGCTCCAAAGGTAGGGAAGGGCCTGTAGCACATGCCTTGGGAACTAATGCAGCTTGGCGCACCGCTTGCTGAGCTTGGTGAACTTGGTGCGAGGTGGCCCAAGCGACGGGGGGGACGCTCCCTGTTTCGGCCGACTTTGAGCCGAGAAACTTTTGAAGGCTTTTGGATGATTCAACTGAGCCTGCGGCGCTGAGCCACTTGGCGCAAGCAGAGGGCCACCAGAGCGGGGCTGTCAATGCTCATTCCTACTTACATCCAGCCTTCTTCGCTCAGCTTGATTCTCCCGCTTCCACAGAGATGCTCAAGCTGCCACCTGCACTTTGGCGTCTGCTTGCAAATGATTGCAAGAGTTTTCTGATGCCGGCGCATGCCCAGGACACGTTTTCCCATCAGCGAGATGCAGAAAACGCTCGCAGTTCCCACCGCAGCAGCTGCTCCTTCGACGTCAAAGGCACTGGCTCCGGTATGTTACAGCTGCATAGCTTGGCCACGTCGTCCATCGAGAGTTTCATGAGACAGGAGCCGGCGCCCACCAATGTCAGGCAGTGCTTCCATTGTGGCATGACATGGCATGACATGGCATGACACGGCATGACATGGCATGACCATGTCGACGCCAGGGCAGCTTGTGCTTCCCATGCATCAGTGTAGGCTTGATGCGTGGAAGAAGTCGATTGAAGGCAACAAGGACCAAGCCCCAGTCCATAAGTGTTCTGCACAGTTCTACACTCCTTGGAATTCACAAATTCCTGGCACAAGGTCAAGCGCTTCAACAACTACCAGGACTGGGGTTTGGCGGGTGGTTTTGTGGGCGGGGTTAAAGCGAAAGTTGAAGCGGGTTATAGCGGGGTTGTTTCTCCGAGCTCCGAAAACTCAAGGAGAGGCGCTCGGAGTCGGAGAAGCTCCGGGACCAGCTGAAGTCCCAGGCGGGGGAAGAATCGGGGTGCAGACATCGCCGAAGCTGTTGAATCATTTTTGAATCATTTTTGAAGCTCTTGAGGACATTCCGGAGGAGCAGAAGGAATGCATCAAGCGCAACTACGCAGCTCAACAGGAGATGCTGCCTTGCCAGCTTCCTGGCCTTGCCAGCTTCCTGCTCTTATGAATAAAAACCTTGTCAGGATGCGTATTGGAGGGACAGCCGCAAGGAAATCACCATTGGTGATTTCGAGTTGCTCAAAGCCGGCTGCCCTGTTGATGGTAGCCGTAACAGTCGTCGCTAAGCATCGCGAATTCAGCCGTAAGTGCATTAAGCACTCTGATGCTCGCCTTCATAGAGGTCATTGGCACCGGTGCGTTTGGCATCGTCAGGCTTTGTCGACACAAGGCCCGTGTGTCATAAAGTTCCGCGTGAGAACTGTCAGGAGGGAGCAGGGACAAGCACTGACCGCTGCTGGGGAACAGCTGTGTTGAAGAGCTTGGCCCAAAGCATCTGATTCACATGCAACAAGCAGCAGTGCATCAGCAGAGCAGTCCAGATGTTTGCTCGGAAAGAACAGTTGCTTGGAGCACAGCTCAAAAAGCGTAGTGCTGGAGTACTTGGCAATGGCGGAGGAGGATTTCGTGGACATCTCCGAGGAGAAGGATGGGGGACTGCTCAAGAAGATCTTGGTGAACGGCCATGGAGATGCATCGCCAACTCCGGGGAGCTCAGTGGAGGTGCACTACGTCGGTACCCTGGATTCCGATGGGAGCAAGTTCGACTCCTCACGAGACCGCGACAGCAAGTTCAAGTTCGATGTGGGAATCGGGCAAGTGATCAAAGGATGGGATCAAGGCATCCTCAGCATGAAGCGCGGCGAGAAGTGCATCCTGCGTTGCCGCTCTGACTATGCTTACGGTGAGCATGGGAGTCCGCCAAAGATTCCTGGAGGTGCCACGCTGAATTTTGAGGTTGAGCTTTTCTCTTGGAAAGAGAAGGTGAAGCCACCATCGATGATGACAGCGGACGAGCGCCGTGAACATGCGACGAAGATGAAGGAGATGGGTACAGAAGCCTTCAAGCAGGGGGACTATTCCACAGCAGTGAACCGTTATGAGGATGGCGTGGAGTACATCACCTTTGATCCTTCGGATGATGGTGGCCATGGCCACAGCCACAATGGGATGGCATGCCACGGTGATCATGGGGGCTCAGATGAAGCCAAGGAGCCAGTTGAGCTGTCGGAGGCAGATAAGCAGCTGGCTGTTGCGCTGCTCAACAACAGCGCCATGGCCCGCCTGAAGATTGGAGAGCATGATGCCGCCAAGTTCGACTGCACGAAGGTACTGCAGTTCGATGCGAAAAACGTCAAGGCAACCTTCAGAAGAGCACAGGCAGAACTTGCTTTGCACAACTTCAAAGCATGTGTGGAAGACGCGAAGCGGACTCTCGAGTTGGATCCAGCCAATAAGGAAGCAGAGCAGCTTGTAAAGAAAGCCACTGATGCCGAAAAGAGAGAGAAGAAGCAAGAGAAGGCCATGTACTCGAAGATGTTCGGATGATCGGCTCAGCGGGCAAGAGGCCCGCCAGAAGAGTCTGCAATCTGTCTGCGGGGGGCAGAAAGGGAGCCTTTACATGTGCCATGGCGTGCTCTTACATGAAGAAAGATGACGTGTGGCTTGACGTTGGGCTTGCAGCCTCTTGCAGCCTCTTGCAGCCTGTTGAAGCCTCTTGCAGCCTCGACCCGAGGGCACCGGAGAGATTCGGGCCATGAAGCAAATGAACAAGAAAGAGATGGTCTTCAAGAATCAGGCCTTTTGCCAGGGCCTACGGCCAGCGGTCACTGTTCAGACTGTTCAGGTCCATCACGTGCGGGCAGAGAAGGAAGCCCTTAGCTCGGCCAAGGACTGCCCTCCGAATCTGATCTCATGAGATGTTCTTGTAAGAGTCTCGCATTGCCCTTGCAAGGATGACTGGGTGATTGGATTGCACTACACGTTTCAAGATGATCAGTACCTGTACATGGTCATGGAGTGCGCCGTCAAGCAGTTTCAGCACTTTCCTGCTCAGACGTAGACCTCTGCAGGTACTTGCCTGGTGGAGACCTTATGACCCATCTCATGCGCAAGGACCTCCGCGGTGCCCCTAAGTCCGCAGCCCTGAAGGTTACATACTTGTTATGCTTGACATGTTATTGTTGGAGGACACGTTCAATGAGGAGGAGACTCGTTTCTACATTGCTGAGCTGGTGGAGGAACCTCGCACCTGCATGAAAGACCCTCAGCTGGCTTGGATGCCGTGGGCCCAGGCCATCGACTACATCCACACGAACTTGCACTACATTCATCGGGACATCAAGCCTGATAACATCGTCTTCGACATCGATGGCTGGCGACCAAACATGCACCCGTCGGAAGGGCGAGTGGGCGTATGGCACAGCCCTTGGCTTCGTCCAAGGCCACATTCACCTTCTCGCTGGGCGCTCAGAGCGGTGCTCTGACCGGTGGAAGCAGCGACTGTTTGCGTTGCCAGCTAGGTTTGCTAAGCAACTCCGCAACCTGTTGAGTGGCCTTCGCGTTTTCCTGCAAAGGACTTTGGTCTGTGCAAGTATCAACCTCCCGAGCCCGCTCAGGGTGAAGGATCCGATGTGGATGAGCTTCCTGCAGTATGGCCTTGCATCCCCCAGCCATGAACAGGAGTTCCTGCTGGAAGCAGTGCAGACAGTCAAAGCAGTGGCACCGTCACGATTAGCATGCAGATGTGTGTGAAGAGAGGGCATGAAGCAATCGCTAGGCACAATAGCAACAGACCTTGTCAGGTCCGTCGTATCGACGCGCAAGGCACCCTCCTCGAGAAAAGATGCAATCGGTGGCCATGGGCTCGGTTTCAGCTTCACGCGCTTACGTCGACTTGAGAGACTTCTTCGTTGTGAAAGGTGGGAACGTCCAGCTGGCGCTCTTGCACTGGGTAGTTCATGGAAGTCCCAGAGTTGGGTAGGCGTCGGAGGTTGTCGGAGTGATTGCTTGTGGACGCCAGGCCTGACTACATGGGGCCGGAGGTGGGGGAGGCTAGCTCGTTTACAATCTTGAGACGCAGTCCGACATCTCCGTCAGGTCTACAAGAAGGCCCCATACGGCAAGGAGTGCGACTTGTGGTCACTGGGTATCATCATGTTCGAGGTCGGATCTGTAACATCCCCTGAACTCTGTGAACTTGGGCGCTGCTGTCCGGATCAGATGCTTTTCGGTGGCCCACCATTCAGTGATGAGCGGCACGATCCGTCGGCCAGGGACCCGGTCTTGCAGCCTCCCACAGGCTCTTGCCCCAGCATGCCCAAGCCAGACCATGTGAGGTGACATCAGCACGTGTGATGCACTGGCGGAGATGGTTTCACATACCGCCGGATCCACATGTCAGCCCAGAGGCCTTTAGATCTTCGCAGTTTTGCCTGGCAGAGTTTCTCGCAGATCTGCTTCAGAGAACGCCTTCTCGAAAAAGGCGCGCGATCTCCTCAAAGGCCTCATTTGCGATCCCGCAGAGACTTGCGCTTTTTGATAAGAGTCTTCTCTTCTGTGTCGACTTAGCTCCGGTTGTCTCGTGGGTGCATTATCTGTTATTGAAAGTGTCATTGGAACGGTGCATTCAATTGGACTCAGGACCGCCTCTCGGCCGATCAGGTACGAGCACATCCTTTCTTTCGCGCAGCATCCTAAAGCTCCAGCTGCCGACTTTTTTCGTTCCGACATGTCTTGAATGATGACGTCTTGTCCTACAAACGAGTCTGAGCCAGTCAGGGCCTGGACTTCAAACGGCTCCGCAGCATGGCCCCGCCCATCAAGCCGATTGTCAATCCCTCAGGATCCTCCAGGATCCAATATGAATGTGGGGGTGCGGGCAAAGCAAAGTGCGAAGAAAGTGCAGAGCAATTTCAGCACTGGAAGGTCAAAGGCCCGCTCGACACCTCGAACTTCGATGACTTTCCTGGTGCCGATGACAAATTCATGATTCCTGCCGAAAGACACAAGGCTCGGTCCCAGTGCAATGTTTGTCCGCCTGTCCTAGTATGCGCCGCTCTCCTCCCCTTTTCCTCCTCCTCCTCCTCCTTCTCCTCCTTGCCTTCACAATGTGCATTTGTCCAGGTGACTGGCGACAAAACGTTGCTGGCAGCGTGCGGGTCTCAAGATGCACAGGTTCAGACTTCACAAAAGCGCGCTATCTGCCTAAAGCTCTCTACATAACCCGAAAAGCAAACGACATCGGCTGCAACGAGACTCCGGCGACCCGGCGAGACTCTAACTCAGACTTAGAACGATGATATGTTCCCCACCCATCACTGGAACATACCATCTGGGGGGGGCCGGACACGCCAGACGCCTGACCGTATATGGTGCGTCTGGCGGCCGGTCTGAGGGTCCCAAGCCCGCTCTCTCTCTCTCTCTCTCTCTCTCGCTCCCTCGCTCGCTCTCGGTCGGTAGCGGAAGGCAGGTTCAAGGTTCGGAAAAACAGAAGCAGTGCCGGCAATCGTAGTCAGAACGAGGCAGAGAAATGTGGTCGACCCAGTGAATGAAGTGAAGCTTGAAGAGGTCGACTGTGTCGCAGCAGTTGAAAACATCGAAGAGCAAGAAGCCATGTCGTAAATTGGTGTGGGCGATGGGCTGTTCTGAGCCCTTTGTCGGAGAGGGCAAAGATTGAACTAGGTAAGTTTTCCAATCTCCGCAATGGGTCAGTGCATGAGGTGCAAGTGAAGACCGTAATCCGGAAGCCGGCAACCTCTCCGATGGCTCATGACGACTTGCGTAAGAGTTACAATTTGTGTACTGCGTGTAATGCCCACCGGCTCGCCAATGGCGGCTCCCGAAACAGCTGATGGGGCTATACGAGTCTGAGAATGCTGCTGGTTCTTCCTTGGCTGAAGGACTCTGGCTGGAACTCAATTTCCATAGAGCCATACGGCCATAGGGAGCTCCCGGCAACTCCCACCAAGCTTGTGTTCGAAGTGAAGAATGGGGCGAAAGAGAGCCGCAGGAGACTTCCAGGTTTGAAAGCAGTCGCTAGCAGCAACGTGCGGCGGTCCATGTGGCCGTACGCCATAGGGAGCTCCGCTACTCTGCAAAGTGAAAGGAGCCATAGGGAAGTCTATTTTGGGTTTTCGGGGCGAGGGTTGCAGAGTTGTAGCGGTTTAGGGTTTAGGGTCTTAGGGCTCAGGGTTCGGGGTTTAGGGTTTAGGGTTGCGTGCGGGTTTGGGGTTTTAGGGGTGGGGGGTGGCGCACAAAGGGCCCCACGGATGCGCACGCGCTCCACGGCACCCCCCCCTCCCCGAATGGTTGTGGGTTGGTTTTAGGGTTTCGGGTTTAGGGTTTTAGTCCCTCCTGTGGTGTGGCTGTCTGTTGGTTTTAGGGTTCGGGTCTAGCCGTTTCGGGCTTGGGGTTTTAGGGTTGAGGTTTAGGGTGTTAGGAGGGCTCGGCTCTGACACAATCTTCAAGCAAATAGAAGATTATCGTTTCGGATTTGGATTTCATCTATGTCGTGGAGTGCGCGAGGTTCCACGACTATGGCTACCGGCGTGACTTGGAGGCTTGCCTGCCACTTTGGTGTTTGGTCTTCCGCATAGGAGTGCTGAGTACATGGTCATGGACGCTGAACGCACAGTATTGAAGGCGAAGAAACCTTCAATCACTGCGGCCCTCAGTTCAGCCAGTGTTGTGGCTGCGCACGAGGCAGTGCGTGGCAGTGCCATCCTCTGTGCACAGACCTTGAAGTGATCGAACATCTGTACGCAGGCCCCCCGGCCCATGCAGCCGCTGCAATACGCCAACTGCTACCCTGGGGGCCCAAGTGCTTCGGCCGCAGTGGCTGCACGTTTTGGGCTGAGGTCCGGGGATGAGGACCTGATAAGGCCGGTTGTACTGGAGTTGTTATCAGTGTACATGGTTTGGCGAGGCTACAAGTTTTTCGTGTCGTGTTGGATGATGTCGGCTTCGGTACCATAATGGCTGAGCAGTGGCCCTGCTCGGACCCCAGCCGCTGCCAGCTTTATGAGATGGCCACAGTAAAGTTTCCATTCAAGTCATATTGAGCTATTAATTTTTGCATTTTCATATTTTTCGTTATCTTAAGAAGCAAATTACACATGATTTACTACTCTTGCTACTACGATGTCGACTACCACTACGGAGGACACTATAATCCTCCAAAAAGGGGTACAGTGCACCAGCCCGCATATGACATATGGATGGGAGATCTATGTTTGCCACCTTTCGGTTGTTTTCTTGAGTCACATTCATGTTGTAGCTCCAGAATGTAGACTTCGATTTTATTATTCGAATCCGTATGTTTAATCCTAGAGCTACGGCGAAGGAGCTTCTGCTTCCAAAAAAGTGTTAATCAGTCTACAGAATGGGGAACACATTGCTTTGTTGTTTCGGTTGTGAGGAGGTTAGGCAGTGCTGCAAAGTTTGGTTTGCAGATTTTGGCGGTTTGGAGTTGATGAACTGAGTTCGATAGCTTCAAGGCTTCGGGACCACTACAAATGTGGGGGGAGGGGGGTTTGCTTTGTGGAGCACCAAAAAATCCACCAGGGCCTGTGGGAATCCGGTGCTTGAGGGTGGTTCCCTCCCCGGTGAACCCGCATAGGGCGTAGGCTCGCGACACAACGACGCTGGAGAGATGAGGTATTGGATCGATTGAAGCCAGCAGTCACACGACCTAAAATCTTAAAATCTGGGCCCTCATTGCATCATCACAACGACGCTTAGTCGGCATCATTGAGTCGTCAAGAAAAGTTACTTGAGAGAGCACAGCGCCTTTTGAGGGTTTTTCTTTCAAGTTGAGGGTTGACATTCTCTCATGATATGCTCAAAAAAGGTAGTGTGAGCACTATTCCCATCCAGGCTTGGCTCCACCGGCCGCGTGGCCTGGCAGTCATGTCACAGCCTCAGGGGGTGCAAATGTGCAGGTCGGTCGGCTTTAATGAAGCATCGTCGAGGAATGGGCCGTCCAAACGGTTTTCGATATCGTGGATGTGTATTCGTTTTTGCCATTTTGGGGTCTTGAGGGTAAGGATTCTCAGAGGTTGCGGAGTGTCTGCGGGAAGAAGCATATCATTGTGCAAAGGTGCAGCATGTGTAGGCTCTTGTCATGCTTTTGCAGACAGAGGCCCGGGAAGATAACCGACATCAGACGAGGGGGTAATGCATATTCCACCGTGTGCGCAAATTCTTTTTTGCAGTTGCCGCTTCAGCCTATCGACTCAGAGAACCCTGAAATTACACTTTGGCACGAACTGAGTGAACAGCTTGCCTGGCGCTCGAGGTGTATGCATATCCACCGGCACAGAGTATCCCACAAGCTGTGCCGCAGCTTAGGCTGCACTCAGGTTTGCTTTTTCGGAGAGCTTTCGATTTTCGGGATTTAACTCGTAGGGCTGTCACACGTATGTGAAGTGGGACCCCAAGACTTCCTGACAGGTGGCGAGTCACTTTGCTAAGGTGGGAGTTTTGGGGTTGAGTTTCCAATGCGCAGAAGGTTCACATAAAACTTAACCCCTAGCCATCAGTTTAGGCGTTCAAGCCCCCACCAAACACCAACCCTACTCTAAATCCTGAAGACGAAAGCCATTGTGGCTCACATTCTATGAAGGCTCGATTGTCCTGAGCTTGGATGGCAGGCATATCTTCGTTGATTCGGTAAACCATTGTGGGCCAAACAAACCATCACGCCGGAAGCGGGGGGCTGTGACCAGAGACTTGCTCCCTTGGCAGAAATTCATCCGCCCTCCGACCTCGGAAATTTTTGTCAACGCCCATCCCAAGTTCTTTCCCAGCCATTTACCGTGCTTTGTACCTTTTTCTCAATTGCTAATTGAAGCTTAAGCGCGTTGCATGTTTTGCGCGTCGCGCAAGTTTTTGGTCCCCAAGCTGTGTAGGCAGGGCACACCAGGCACCCAATCACATCGATTTTAAAAGCTAAGTCTTTCTGTCTCTGTGTGGGTATCTGGTCACGCAACTGTTGATGGGCTTTGTTTTGTTGTTTCTTGGGCTTGTGATTTTGCTTTTGGTTCCTTTCGCCTGTTCTCACTGGGTTCTCCTTTCGTGCTTTTTGGTTTCTGTGTGTTGTTTACAGGCTTATGACTTTTTGTTTTGTGCTTTGCTCGATGCCTTTTGCCTTTGCTTTTCGGCTTCTTGCTGTTTGCTTTTTGTTCTTGTTTGCGTTCTGCTTCGTTTATTTTTGCTGATTGTTCTTTTCAGCGATTTGGTGTTTGCTCCTTTGCTTTGTGTTATACACCTCTTTCCTTTGATTTTCTGCTTTTTGCTGTTTGCATTTTGTTTTGGCTTTGTTTTGGTTTGCTTTATGTTTGTTTTTTTTGCTGTGTGCTTTCTGCGTTTTGTTTTGTTTGATTTGTTCTATGCCTTGTGCCTTCTGCGTTTATGTTCTTGCTCACGCTTATTGTTGTGGTGTTCGTTTTCATTTTGCTTGCTTGCATCGTTCTACTCCCTTTCCCATTATGCTGTTGCCTTTTGCGTTCTGCTTTTATGCTTTTGCTTGCTTTGTGCTAAGCCTTGATGTTTGCTTCTCATGTTGTTTGTTTTTTGCTGCTTTTCTTTGGGAGGGCGGGGCTGAGAGCTTCCAGCAGAAAAAAACATGGTTTCCAAATGGGAAACTCCTAAGTATATTTTCCAATCAAGACACAAAGGACAGCAGGGGTTGGCATCAAGCGAAAGTCTTGCGACCTAGAGGACATATGGAGGAAATTGTGGAAGGAAGTAGGAGTGCTTTCTATTGAACCCGTTAGGCTATCGCCGACAGGAACTGGGTTAAACAACTCTTCCAAGCATACAAAAGGACATGGAGGCTTGGAAGCGCTGCTTGGGAAGGGAGTAGGAGGGTTTGCTAGATTCCTTATCCAGTAAGACAGGTTTCCTTATGCAATCCTACACAATTACAGATGAAGTCCAGCGTGTCTGTGAAAACATAGAGGCATGGGTTTCGAGAAGCGAAGCAACAATAAACAAGGAAACAGAGGCTCTCAATCCAAATACAGAGAAAATCGGAGTTGCCCCCAAGAAAATTTGCCAGAAAAGGTTTTCTTAATGAAAAGTTGAGGCCCCCTATTCGATTCATCTGGAGAGCGCGATGTCGACCACGGCATTGGTTTTAAGCACAACACGCACGGGATGCCACAACACGCACGGGATGCAGACGAGCGCACGCTTTCGACCACAGAATGGACAGAATGTGTGTGTGTGTGAGAGAGTTAGGTGAAAGCGCGAATTTGACTATGGAGTGGCGTCCGGGATGCAAGCGAATGCGCGATTTGATCATGAGATGCGTCTGCATCTTCTGCTCTTGTGCCCTCTTGTGGGCAGCTGCAGTGTGTGTTGTGCGTATGCGTGCGTATGCCATTCATGCTTGGCAGACACTTACACGATTCCTGTGTCAGCCAGCCTTCGAGGCCACCTCCGCCCTACCAGGCGGGCAAAGGGCTGAAGCTTTCGGTGGTCCAATAGGTTTAGGCTGGGTGATGGTGAGATGTCAGTTGGATCTATAAAACCCCCCATGAAGGTTTGCGAGCCAACATTCTTTCACTCCTGTCGGTATACAGCCCTACATAGTCAAAGCTCCCAGATCCCAGCATGACGTTTGACACCACAACCCTACGCTACAAAGTTCTCAGCGCGCTAAATGTCTCGAACTTCAACCCCCCAAGAACCCCCATATCGCAGGCGCCGGTCCAACGCCCTAGAGACCTTTCTATCCACCAAGTCACGGGACATCCCTAGACTCAGAAGCCGATGAGTCTTTTTCCTCTTCGCACAGGCGGCTCGGCCCATGCCGCTGCAGTACACCAACTGCTACACCGGGGGCCCAAGTGGCTTCGGCCGCAGGGCAGTGCTGCGGCGGTTTGGGTTGTCGACCTTGTCGAGTCCAGTGTTGGGACCATAGAACCGGTTTGCCGTGGGTGGGCTAACTAAGGCTGTTAGGCTGTTTTGAGATGAGGCCACAAATCCGACACAGAAACGCAGAGTGTCGGTCAGGCTTTGTCGAAAGGTCAGGTCCAAGTTTTGCGATCGGAGGCATTCCCGAATCCTTTGCACACTAGCCAACGGCGCTGCACCTGTGAAGGCCCAAGCCCTTACCAAGGCTTGGCTCCAGCGGCTGCGTGGCCAGGCAGTCATGCCCCGACCTTAGCGGGGAAAAAAGCCCTTGGAGGCCCTTGGTTAGTCCCTTTTGGGTGGCTCTATCATTTTCGATCGCTCTTGACGCGATGGGTTGTGTGAACACCGTCTCCAAGCAAAGTTTGCAAGTTGGGGCGTGTGGTGCCTCAAAGGGGCACGTGGCTCTCATCCTTGTTGTCCGATCTTGTTCGGTAAGAAGCTTACCTTTAATTTATCGCTAACGCGAGGCCGCCTCGGCAAGGGTACCGAGGCGGCAGGAAGGGCTAGTGAGTTGAAAGCTTTGGGGGGGCTCCGAGTGGCTTCGCGCGGTGTCAGGGGTGGGAGGAAGAAGGTGGGGGGGGGCAGTGGGTGTGGGGGAGGGGTGGGGGGGAGGGGGGTGGAGGGGGGGGTGGGGGGGAGGGGGGTGGAGGGGGGGGTGCCCAGCCCAGCCCAGCCCAACCCTCTAAGAAGAGCCAAAATAGCTTCCAAGACCAGCCCAGCCCAGCCCAGCCAGCCCAGCAGCCCCATCCAACGCCTCCAAGAAGAGCAACGTAGCCTCCAAAGACCCTCTAAGAAGGGCCAACATAGCCTCCAAGACCCGCCAACTCTGGCTTAGGGCTTAGCGGGGTTCGGGATTAGGGCTTAGGGTTTAGGGCTTAGGGCTTAGGGCTGAGGGCTGAGGGCTTAGGGCTTAGGGCTAGGGGCTTTGGGCTTGGGGCTTCGGGCTTGGGGCTCAGGGCTTAGGGCTTAGGGTTTAGGGCTTGGTAGGCTTGGGGCTTGGGGCTTAGGGCTTTTTGGGCTCGGGCTGGAGCAGGGGGGGGGGGCGGGGGTGGGCCAAAGCCAGCTAGGGGGGTGGGGGGTGGGTACACTTCCTAGTCTTCCCTAGACTTGGATCTAAACGCCTCAGGCCTCCGGCCTCGGCGGATAGACGGGGCGCAGTCACAAGCTTTTCTTTTTGTATTTGCAGCCCCATGAAATTTAGACTTGGTTTTTTGGACCTGGGCCTCCGCAACTTGCAGCCGCTCTGCAGCCAGTTATAGTTGACTTAGGCCCCAGTGAACAAGATTCTGACATTGCGCGCATGTGACGGCAGTTGTGCAGATGGTTGAGAGGTCAGTGGCCAGCTTCATCGGCAGGGTGAGTCGCTGAGTTTTTTGGTGCACGCAGTGCATATCGCTTGCCGAAGAGCGCTCGAAGCATTTGGCAGACCTTGAGGCGGTCTTCCGACTGCAGCCACGAGGAGGCAAACTTAAAGTCGCCGCATTGGCTGAAAAGAAGTTGAAAAGGTACGGAAACGTAGTCCTCTGACCGGTTCGGCTTCGTTCTGCAGGGGTTCTTCACTTCAAGTCAGGCCTTGTTGAAGGCCTTGGAGACAAAGAAGCTGAGTGAGCCCGGGGCCAATGGCGTCCCGCAGATAGACACTTCGGACGCGTGGGGTAAAAGCATGCGGCATTTGTGCTCGTTAGATTTAATAAGGACAACGGTGTACTGAAAACAGCATTCTCGTGGTGAGCATCATGATAGTAGCCTTGCCGCCTCAAGACCCTGACCACAAGACCCAAGGGCATCCCGAGAGCTCCTAGGGGTAAGCTCACAGGGTGCCCACATAGGATCCATAGGGGCAGGATGTTCATAAGGAGAGCAAGGCCATCTCGGAGGTTTCTTCAGAGAGTCCATCACCGGCCAAAGAGCCTCCCTCAAATGGACAACTTTGTCGAAAGCCCAACTTTTGGCTGGTGCTCTTTTGCCCCCAGCGCACTTTGGGCACTGAGATCGTGGATCAGCACGATGACGATGGTGACGATGTCGATGGCGATGACGATCACGATGTTGGTTTATGGTGATGATGGTGATGATGGTGATGGCGGTCGCGATGGTGATGGCGATGGCGACGGCTGCGACCACGACAATGGATGATGATATTGATGAGAATGATGACAATGATCGTTCATGAGGAAGAGGAGTTCATTGATGATGTTATGGATCGTCCTGCTGGTGATATGAATATGACAGTATAACTATCAATATTCGTGTTTTTCTCATTTTTATTGATGACGGCAACGACGGCATGGCGTCAAACCCGAGGCTCTTGTGTTGTAAGTCTTCTCGTTGAGGGTGTCTGGTGGCCCTGCTGAGTGCAGAGTCGGTACTGTAAAGAGCGGTTCAAGGGAACCGAGCCTGAGCAAGAGCCGCGCGGTCGCGTAGAGCAGCGCCCGCGCCGTCCTCAGCGACCAGAACAGCGCATGGCCGGAAAGCCGGCAGATGGTGGTTCAACATGTTGCATCAGGCAGTTATGCTTTCGACCCTCCGACGAGTTCCTGCCTGGTGCCAAGTCCTGTGAAGACCCTCCCGCTAGTGCAGTCCTGCTGCTCGTCACCAGGCTCGGCCAGTACTGACAGCAAGTGTCAGAAGTTTTGCGGCCGCCAAGGAAGCGGTCCACAGATGTTGAATGGGGCGTGCTTCAAAACGACAGCGGTGTTTGTGTCGACTGCGCTACGTTTGCAGGACATTCGCCATGGAAGTGAAGCACGCGCTCTGATGCTTGAAGGACTTGCGAATCGTGCCGAAACGCGCAGATAATCTGCAACCACTTGCCAGTGGAAGGCTGCAATCGCCTGGCCGATGCTGTTGCTGTGACCATGGGGCCAAAGGCGGCCCTTTGAAGAAGCAAGAAGATGTTGCTGAAGCGTGAGTCGTGAGCCTGTGAGGGCAGAAACGTGGTGATCGAGCAGTCCTTTGGCGCACCAAAGGCAGCGTTCGGGCTCATGGTTGGACGCCGTGCCAGCATAGTCAGCATGGGATATCATGGGATAGCATAGCTGTAGCATGTCACTGTCTTCAATCTGGTATTGCGGATCTCAGCGCTCGGAAGCTGGTGGCCAAGAGTGTCAGGTAACGAAGGATGGTGTCACCGTGGCCAAGTCGATTGACTTGAAGCAGAAGCCTTAGTCTCTTTTGTTATGTAGGGTCAAGACTCCCTGTTTCTGCATTTCTGCCTAGATCCAGCCCAATGATCAATGTGGGCGCACAGCTGGTGAAGACTGTTCTCGACTGAGCTTCATCTCAAGCGTGGTGTGGTCGTCATCTAGGTGGAGTGCAGATTGATTGTGGCTGACCAAGTTCAGGTCGCCAGCAAGACGAACGACGTAGCTGGCGATGGCACAACAACTGCAACGGTTCTGGCACGTCCGGTTCTTGGCCTTCGCAAGAAGCGATACGTCGTGCAGTATCGAAAGACAAGGCGCCATCTTCAGAGAAGGCTGCAAGGCGAGACATGCACGTTCAGAGGAGTTTCGCGTGAGGAGAAAGTGGACATGGTGTGTATCTATTCATCAAAAGGTAGATTTGTTGGACGATGCCTGCAGGCAGTAGCAGCCGGAATGAATCCGTGGGGCACTCAGATCAAGCTCACACAGAAGCGCTCTCTGAGGAAAGGCAGTACAAAGTTATGAGCCTGATGCCTGAGGATGGACATCAAGCGCGGCATGGACCATGCGGCCAAGATTGTCCTGGAGGACCTGCTCGCAAAAGTGCAACTCGGGTGTTGGCAGCGACTGGCTTTAATCTTTACACTCCATCGACACGCTCGAAAGGAAAATGTGCAACTGGACACCTTGTGAAGGATCTTGCCAGCCAAGCCACTATGATCGAAACACCTGACAAAATCAAGAGCGCCGGAGGCTCAGAGGCCCAGTTTCATCATGCATCCACCGCCCTACTTCCAAAAGAATTTCTACCGGACACTATTTGTATCTATTTGTTCAGTGATAGCACCCCAGGTTGCAACCATTGCGGCTAACGGCGACGAGCACATCGGCAAGATGATCACCGAAGCCTTCGAGAAGGACGCAATGTAGGGCATGTGTTACGACACGCTTTCACGTTCTCATGATCCAAGCATCATGGTGTAAGTTACGGATCAGGTTGGCAAGGACGGTACCATCACAGTGTCCTGGCCCAAGCTGAGCGGCATGGATTTAGCTGACCCCTCGAAATACCTCTTAGCCGGCTTACCGGAAGCTTCCTCTTAGGTTTGCCAAGTTTTTGTGGACAGGTCTGATGGCAAGACCATGGACCACGAGCTGGAGGCCGGGGTTGCTTGTCTGTCGCATTTACAGCAGCACTGCAGACAGCAGTTTTTCGCTGTTGTACAGCAGCCCTTGCCTCCCTTCTGTCTTCCCCCAGGTGGTGGAAGGCATGCAGCTGGATCGCGGGTGCCCACAGAGACGGCTGGTCAGATTGCCCGCCAGCTACCGCCAGTTGTCTTCCTTTTGGAGGTACATCTCGCCGTACTTCATCACGAACGTGAAGGCCAGCACTGAAAGAAAATGTCGACCTCGGTGTCGGCTTGCATGTCTTAAGTGCAGGCGCAGAAGGTGGAATTGGAGGCGTGGTGCGGTCTGTGGGGCAGCTGCTCTGAGTGCTCGTATCTCCTTTTCACTCGTGCCAGAATCCGCTCATCTTGATCTTCGACAAGAAGATTTCCTCAGTCCAGGCTTCCCCAAGCTCGTAGATTTGGTGGGCGGAAGCTTCATCAGTCTCTGCAACTTTTGACTGCTTCTACTGCTTCCCTCAGCCTCTGAGCAGGCCATCTTGCCGGTTTTGGAGCAGGCAGTGCGGGAAGGGGTACAACAGGATGGGAGAGGAAGATGTTGGTTAAAAGTTTCTTTGGCTTGACTCGTCTGACCTTTCCCTCCGCCGCGCGCGCGCGCGCGCGCGCGCGCGCGCGCGGGCGGGCGGGCGGGCGGGCGGGCGGGCGTGCGTGCGTGGGTGGGTGGGTGGGTGGGTGGGTGGGTGTGTGTGTGTGTGTGGGCGGGCGCTCAGCAGTGGCCCCTCTTGTTCTCCTCTCCATTCCCTCCCTCAATAAGGGACCCTTAAAACCTCAAGCCGCAACCCCCAAACCATGCCACACCCACAACCCCAAGAATGGTTCAATCCCAAAACGCCTGAACCCCATGCTTCACTCCCGAACCATTGTCCAACGGGGCTGGATGGGCCACAGACCTTAAGCAACCATGTACAATCTACAGCGGGGTGCAGTCACGTCCCTGTGCATGTGTTGCAATTTGATGATATGTACCATGTGTCTGCTACAGTGCAAGCGTGCTTACTCCCAAGATTCTGCTTGCACTGATCTTTGGGTCCATCGTGCTGGTGGTCACGCCGCACACGCTGCTTAGTGGCGCTTGCAAGATCTTGCAAGCGTCGCAAGGTTTAATTTGTCACAATGTTTGGGCGAGTCTCAGCTTTGAGTTTCTGGGATACAGCAAAAAATTCCAGCGCGCTCAGATTCGGTCTTCAGAAGTGGCTACGGCTAAGGCGACACAGTCAGTAGGGCCAGCCATTCTGGACGAAAGGTTCCGTTCCCAACGTTCTGCCTGCAACACACTCGTGGAAGGCTTTGATTCGCAGAATGAATCTCCTTCGTGCCATATGGCCGCATCTTAATTATTGAATCGATCAATACTTTAGTTGTCTGACACATTGGACCCTGACACATTCTAAACTACAATCATGATCCTTGTTGAATTCAAGCTCAAATTTGACTGGCATGCTTTGAAGAAGTCGCCGCGGGCACACCCATTTTGCCGGAACGCTTGCGCTCTGAGCACTGGGACTTCACTAATTGTACGTGATGAGAAGCCCCAGCGCTGCATCTAAACCTGTTGCATGCTGATGGGGTCCGGAAGCTTAGGTCCAGGCCCGTAGGATCCTTGTCGCGCATCTTCCATTTCGTGCCAAGCAAATCTTTTTCACATGTGTCTCAGTTGGTGTTTCTCGTGTTTCGAGGGGTCGGGCTTCGGTAGCCCCAGACACAAACGGCCCAGAACGGCACTAGCACCCGCCAGCAACATGAGGAATTGCTGTTGTTCAATGTTTAGGCACGTTTTCGGGGCTGATCGAGCATCAGCTCTGCAGCTCCCAGTGCCGATGAGTAGGGCAGCAAGTGGACAAGCGGAGGTCGCGAAGGTGCAGAAACCTCTCCTGATCATCGCGGAGGATGTAGATGGCGAGGCCTTTTGCGATTTTGCCCGAGTGTCTTCAACATCCGATTTTACTTCACGGGGTCCTGCAGGCCTTGTCGATGCTCATTGTGAACAAGCTGCGGGGCGGCCTCAAGGCTCTTTGGGCTGCGACGTAAAACTTCCACACAGAGGTTTGTTTGCGCGACTGCGATGACTCCTCAAAAGGATGCCAAAAGGCTTCTCAGGCCTTGCGTACTGTGAACACCCTGCCAAACCCAGAGGTGGCTGCCGTGAAGGCGCCTGGCTTCGGTGACAACCGGAAGGCGATCCTGCAGGATCCGGGGGGAGCACAGGGCAGCCGGAGCATGCTGCTAGTACAAAGGCCCAGGCGAGTTTCAGACGTGAGAGGATCTCTGCGTTCTGACCGGTGCCGAGCTCATCACCGAGGAGCTTGGGGGCAAGCTTGAGGCCCGAGCACCGCCTCCCCGGTGAATCTCGCACGAGATGCCTTGCCAGGAAGCTCAGCTCTCACAGCTGGGCACCGCCAAAACCATCACCATTGACAAGGCCCACAGCCGCCCTGTCCCGTCCTTCTATTCTTTCCCCCACAACGAAAAAAAGCTTGTCTACGGTTGAGCTCAGACGAGCCACACTAACGTGCCATGTGACGGGGATGTGGCAGGACAGCACCGTCCTGCTGGATGGAGCGGGAGAGAAAGCGAGGATTGAGGTGAAACTACGGGCCAGCTTAAGTATCCGCCCCTGCGAAGCTGCTGAATCATGCAGGAGAGGTGTGAGGCCATCCGGGACACTATCGAAGCATCCGCGTCTGAGTACGAGAAGGACTTGGACAGAGAATGGGAGCTCTGCAGACGCTGGTCTTGCTGGTCGCAGCATGTCGCTGGGTTTATCTGGGTTCTTCAGGATAAGATGAAGGAGCGATTGGCAAAGCTGGGTGGAGGTGTCGCGGTCATCAAGGCCAGGATAACAGTTCACTCAGTACTTAGCACGAGACTCATGACCCCACTTGACTATGAGAAAAAATCTTGGCAGCTTACATCGGCTCGGCAAAATAGAGAGTCAAGGAGTCAAGCTTCGTGGAGCTTTGTGACAGGTGGGTGGTTCCAGCGAGGTCGAAGTCAATGAAGTCAAGGCTGCATCATCCTAAGTTCTTAAGCCTCCGAGCCGGCACTTCAAACTTCTAGCCAGGACCGCCTGAACGATGCCTTGAATGCCACGAAAGCTGCCCTGGAGGGCGGCATCGTGCCCGGTGGAGGCGCTTGATCTTTTCAGTCTTGCCTTTCATGGGAGAGCAGAAACTGTAAGCGAAAGGCTTGTGATGGCTTTTTGCATTTTGTAAAAGTGGGTTCCAATGGCTTCCGAGCTCTCTTCGGACTTTCGGACTCTTCGTCGTTTTCAGTCTTTCGGGGCTTCGACGGTCCCCGTGCACACACCTCGCTGGCGCCTCTTCCTCTCAGAAATGCCTGGTTTCTCTCATGCAGTGCTTCCCTGTTGGGTCGGACGGCCTGAAAGCTTGACTCGTGCTCAAGTGGGCTCGTTTGGGCTTTCACGTGTGTCGGCGAGCGGAGAAGTGGGACATGTGCTGGCATGGATCAACTAGGTTTTGCGCTCTGACCGACCTGTTTTCTCTTTCTGTTGTGCAATCATGTGGCGCTCGCTGTCACGACATGCTCCTAGTTTAAGGATGTCGCAGGTAGTTTGCATGCGTTTTCGTCTTCATAGTTGAGGCTTGCGTGTGGGTGGAACAGGTTTGAGCGCCTTGTATTATCTATCAACTTCATACGTTCTCGCAACGTGTGCCTTTTGCAATGAAGCCAGAAGAAGATAAGGGGGCGGGTTGTAAGATCATGTCGCGTTTCCATGCTTTCAAGATCTTTCAAGCGAAAGCGCCAGACGGCCAGAAAACCCGTGCATGCCAGCGAAACCGCAGGATGAAGCCGGTTGGCTTCAACAAATTTTTCCCATCTCTGATGAGATTCGCATGAACGGATGAGTGTGACTCAACTCCTTTCGAGCGTGCAAGTGAGGCACTGCCCTTCTCTATGCCACCATGAAGCTGGAGGTGTGTGTTTTTTTGTAGAGTCATTTTCGCGCGAAAGAGCAGAGTGCAGAGCGCGGAGCGCAGAGTGCGGAGCGCAGAGTGCGGAGGGTGTGAAGCTGGAGAGCTTGGACCAGCAAGTGGGAGTGGATGCCATCAAGGCCAGGGCTTGGCTCGAGACACTCCAAAAATGACCCAGAAATGGCCCCGTAAATGACTCACTCAGCTTTGAAGTCTTCAGGCCGCCCTGAAGCAGCCCTGCATCCAGATTGCTCAGACACTTGACAGCGAGAGCGGGCGAGATTGCTTTCATGGAAGTCCGTGCCGAAATGGCACTTTTGCCATCCTTGCTCTTATGTGTGCTGACCTCCTGATGTAAAGCAGCATTACGCAGCATTGCTTTTTCACAGTCTTTCAACTTTCACACCTTCAGGAATGCTGGAGAGGAAGGTGCCGTCGTTGTGCAGACCCTCTCCAAGGATCGTGCAGCCATTTGAGCTCACGCGCCTTTTGCTTGTATGCTGATGCTGCAGATCACAGGACAAGAACCTGTCCAAGGGCTTCAATGCTCAGACCGGACAGTTTGTTGACATGATCGAGGCGGTAGCCTGCAGTAGCAGTGGCACTCATCCTTGCAAGTTCGGTTTGTTTTTCTGCAGGCCGGCATCATTGACCCCACCAAAGTTGTGCGAACAGCTCTTGCCGACGCGGTTTCAGTCGCGTCGCTGATGACCACGACCGAGGTGCGACTGTAACTAACAGCCAGAACTGCGTGAACACCTGTCTCGGCATTGCTTAGTGTTAGAGCGCGAGGCAATCATTGCGGAAGAAGTGGAAGAGAAGGCAGCTGGTGAGCGCCCGCTCTCTCCATACCAGCAGGTGGTGTGCCCAGAAGTGGACAATTGTAAGTTTGGCCCAGCTGTGCCTTGCAAGCGCAGCTTGAAGCAGGCTGGGCTGAGACAAGATGGCCTGGGTGGCTTCTGAGCCGCCTCTGATGCCTTGCTTTACATAGAAGTAGCAGAGTATTCCAATGATCCCACAAAGGACAGTATAGACTCGCCAATCCACGTTGGAATTGCTCTGCGTTCGTTCGCTGCAAAGCGAAGCTTCTCTTATTGCTTTTGTGGCAGTTTGGCGAACCCAGCCAGCCAAGAGGCCTGAAATTTTAATCTGCAATGGCAGATACAAGGCTTTTAGGCAGGTGGCAATGCGGGTGGCGAGAGCATGCTCAGACCTCAGCTTCGTAGTGAACGAGAACTTGCTTTCGTAGATGTCAAGTATCTCAATGGTGCAGAGTGCTTGGAGTGCCTGGAGTGCCTGGAGTGCTGCTGCAGGCATCTTTGCAGCAGCTGCGCAGCGCAACGCCCTCGCCCGCACCAACTCTTGATTTGGCGGTCAGGCATGCCTTCACGCAACCTGATACGCAGGACATACAGAGAAACCCTCCAGGTTGGCAGAGACAAAATGAAAAGCTTAAGAGTTCGAATTATCATGACCAAGGATCAGAATCAATGATGAGTGGGGCTTTGTTGCAGCACATAATTTAGAGTCGGTTTCGACAGCCCGTAGTAAATCTATTGTGTTTGAATGAACGTTTGCCGCCTCTTCAACATCGGCTCCAGCGCTCGGGAGATGGGTTGTGAAGCAAAAGACAATCGCAGCAGGTATGTTCTTGGTTGGCATTTGAGTGACCGTACCCAGCTTTCAAGTAGAGTTTGAAGAGGTTGGGTGTAACAATGCTGGCAGACCATAGTTCTTTTAATTACAGGCATTAGTCCAAATTGCATGCCGCAAAGAAAGAAACTCGGAAGCAGGCGCAACAAGTTCTGAATGTTGGTTGTTGGTGATGCTAATTTGTGGGTTCCCTGTATGAATAGAACCACATTTTCACAGCTCGCGCCGTATCGTGCCGAGCAGCTTCGCGCCATGGCAGTGGATTGGAGCGATTTGGTGTGAAGATGGTGCTTCATGCCAGCTGTTGCCACGGCCACGGGTGACAAAGGGCTTTCTGAAGGCAGGCAGTTGGCGCTTGCTGCCGCGCAGCCTTTTGCTTTCAGCGCCTCAGCCTATATTCGTCCTTGCCGCAGTACAACAGCGGTGACGGCACAGGACGGACTGCACTGCGAAGATGGACGCCAGTCCAGCTTTCAGTGTCCATACCTCAAAACAATTTTGAACTCCGCAGGCAGTCGCTTGAAGATCCGAAGTGACATCGTCTCGCAGGCTGCATGGGGACATGCTCGTCGCGCCGCCGAAGTTGCAAGTGAGATAACGCTGAAGGGCTTCTTCAAGTCACAGCCTCCCGACTTCAAGTGGTTCCGTGGAGAGCAGATGCCGTGCCTCGAGCTCATGAGCAAGACCGTCGAGGAGCCAGCTGCAGATTCAGATTGTGTGCTGCCAGATTCAGACGATGTCAGATGTGTGACAAAAACACCATAGTCAGTTGCCTGCAGCGATGTGTGCTCCCACCAGGAGTACCGCGAGAAGGAGCTGACACAGGCCAGCGCCTTCGGAACTCCGCTTGGCTTAGTCGCATCTCTTCCTGTGTATTCCTCCACTGTTCGTTCACCTGCAGGAACGCAAAGAGGAGCTCGAGAAGACGATCGACAAGTTGTCGGAGGACAGCAATATCCGCCAAGAGCTAACACGTCTTGACCTCGAGCGTGTCGAAGACGGGTACTACCTGGCCCTCAACTTCGGCACTCTGCTTTCCACCCACGGGTTCGACCAACGCTTTCAAGCCTTCGCCCGGAGCTGCGCAGATGAGATCAAGGAGTGGAGCGGGGGATCGGGTAACTTGACGTCGACAGGTGTTCATGCGGAGATGCGGAAATGTCGAATTCTGCACAGCCCCTGTGTCGGAATCTTTTTGTCAGCGGGCTAGAACAGTCACTTCGGTGCGTTCTCGTCACATTTTAAGACATCTGAGGTGATCCTTCCGCCTCTCTATCAATCGAGCACAACTGTTGCCCTGCCTTGGGAAAGCACTACGACCCCAGGTCAATCCAGTCAATCCGGCTTTACACCCACCATGGCATTCCGAAAGAGAAGCGCTCTGTCCTCGAAGCGTTCGTCACGATGCACCTTCAGCAGGAGTCTGCGATGATCCCATTCCTGGGGGAGGTGGCTTCCCACCAGAGCGCACTTTTGCGGAAGGTGGCCGCAATGGGGATGTGTGCGCCGAGAGGGTTGCGCCCCCCATGGGCATTGTGTCCTCTTGCCGCAAGGATTGTTTGGTCCGCCACCGACGTGCAAAGAGTTCTGGGAGTCTTGAATACGAACCTGGAGAATGTACTCAAGATCTTGCACACGTCGATGCCCCACATTAAGTCTGAGGACTGGCCATGCGTGGCCAAGACCTTGCAGGGCGCGACGGGTTCCCAGAACAGCTTTGTCCCGGTCACGGACGCTGTCCTGGTGGGCACGGAGCCCAAAGACGAGGGCTTCCAGCGAGACGCAGCTCAGTTACCAGAACGCTGGACAAACGACCAGGCACTTCGCCTCGGGCTTGTGCTTGAGGGCGTGGCGCAGTTGCGCGTCCAGATTCTGGTGTTGCTCCAGGTGGATGATGCTATTCGGGCCCGGTTCAAGGCATGTATGCTCTGTTGGATGCTGTGGCGCGCTGCGCACATCCGCTGGGTCGTGCCGATCACGAGCCAGCTTCGGCGGCATCTGGAAGGCCAGGACTCGCTCAAAATGCATGCAAGTCTGCTACAGTAGGGTTCATGGTGCCCCAGGGCCCAAGGATGAGGACTTGAAGGAGAGGCTGGAATCCCGCCAGTGGGAAGCCCTCGAGGTGCAGAATCGGGTCATCAGTGAGTCATCAGCACGTGCATGCGTTTGACGATGTTTGAGAAGTCGCTAGGGAGTGCTGTAGATTCACCGGAGGCACTGCAGGCGGTCGACCACAAACCGAGGGACGAGCGGCGAGTGGTGGTGAAAGTGGACGATGTGCGTGTCGATCTGACGGAATACGCCAAGAAGAACACGCACCCCGCAGGACGGGCACTCATGTTTTAGAGGACGCAGCCTAGGGCCTGACTTGCGCTGCAGCTTAGCGCAATGCTCAGCCTCCGAAGAGACTGGCCGAATACATCAATCAGTGGTTGCACGCGAAGCCCCGAGATGTGCTGGACAGGATGATGGTCATTTTGCCGTGCACTATCCTCTGAATGCTGCAGGACAGGCAATCATGCGTGCCTTCATCGATGAGGATGTCTCCAATGTGCTGCTGCAGTTTCATTCGAAGAAGATCAAGGCAAGTAATGTGCAAGTTTGCATGTCGTAGATTATAGCCTTGCACGCTCTACAGCCAGCGTGCATCAGTGTGGCCATGTGTGACGTATCAACTTGGAAGAATGTGTCGAGAATCCGGTGCTTTAGCAGGATCGTGTCAAGTGGAAGTACCGCATTAAGAGCAAGGACTGAGTGGCAAAGGCTGCGGTCGACCTATTCGCGCGAGTTCATTCAATCCCTTCCCCCTATAAATATCCAAACAACCCATCCTTGTAGCTTGCTGGCTCAGTCATACAGCAGGTTTCAATCTTTTATTTTTGGGCTGTACTAGGTTTCAGACTACTTCAGAGCCCCCCCCCCCCTTGGGGGTTTATTGATTTTTATAGGAGGAAGGGATTAGGCGGCAAGTTTTCGAGCCCTTTCAGGGCTGGTGAGTGTCCAGCCACCAGTGCTGGAGAGTTCGAATTATGATTTAGCGACCTCGCAACAACTGCTTTCGCCTCAGTCCAAGTGCTAGCATCTTCCCGACCCGGGCATTCCCCAGGTCGTATTCATTTCTGTAGCTATGTCTGTAGGCTTTCCCTATGCACCGGCCACCAGAAAAAAACGAGTTCACATGCTAGTTTCAGGCGGATTGGGCTTGATTGGTATTTTCAAGCGGATCGACCAGGTTTCTGGGAGCCGGAAGCCTAGCGGAGAGTGAAGCAGAAACCAAGCGGAAGCACGTCTTCGCTTGCGCAAGTCATTGACTAAAACCTAGCGGAGAACCTCGCGGAGAACATAGCACCCCATACGATTCCAAGCAGGTCCGCCAGAAAAAATACCACGTGCACATGGTATTTTCAAGCGAAGCAGATTCGATTGGTAGGTTCAAGCGAAATCCCTTGGTTTTTCAAGCGGGCGATGGCTAGGGTTACTTGCACCTGCCACCCTGCGCGGCCGCACCTAGCGACTACCATCAGCCATGGGTTGTCCCGCGGCTGCCGCACCATCCGGCAATCTCATCTCTTCTCCTTGGCAACAGCCCCTGCTGGCCAGAAGAAACTCCCCTGATGTGCCCTCTGCTCCTCGCTCTGCTTCCGCAGCCCAAGTCAAAGGCACCGACATCCAAAGAGGAGGGTGGCTGGCAGTATCCGGTGAATCTTGCCTCGCGCGGGCAGCCTCGTGAGATGCGGGAATGCACCTTCATGTTGCAACAATCATCGCAGCACAGTCGTCGCTGTCGGACCCTGTTCTTTTTACACGGCTCTGTTCATATTCTACATTTCGTCCGATATACATAAGGTACATATTACATGTGCTACATGTACATATTCTACGTATGCATAACGACGACAGAGACATGTGTGCCCACTGACATACTGGAATCATCATTTGCGTACACTTACATATGTGCATACTTCCATATATACGAGTGAGGGGCGTGCTTTCTAACGTGCACACGGGTTTTGTGTCCAACGTGCACGCGGGTTTGTGTCTACGGTGCCCGCAGGGCGTCGGAAACCTACGGCTGTAAGATTGACTTTACAAGTTAAGTTTGAAAATGAATAATTGTTGTATTTATTTCCACCAGGGTTTAATGAGGACAGAAAAGAATAAATTTCGCGATTTTCTCTGGGAATCTCAAAGCTTCACAAATAATATGGTAGTCTCTTTCTGGGAACTTCCAAATTTCGTAAATGATGAGGTAATCTTTTTCTGGAAATTTCTAAATTCGACAAAAATCGTGGTAATCTGTCTCTGGAAAATTTAAATATTATGGGATGACCAAATTTCGTAAATATCGTAGTATTCTTTTTGGAGGAATATTTAATTCTCATAATTTCTTGGTGATGGATTTTGAAATTTTGAAAAA